TTTCGCGAACTATTTGAAAGCTCCGTAGAGGCATCGCAGACGAGCTTTCCCGATCTACCTTAGCTTTGGTCGCAGGTGTAGACACATTAAGAAGGCGGCCTGGAATGACTTGTTATAATACAATGAGGAAAAGACAAGTCGTGCGGCACATCCGTGCCACTTTGAGCGCTTTGCTCGAAGAGGAGGACTTATCAAATGGAATTCGAGTATCGGTCTAATAAAGGTTGTCTAAAATCTGTGAAAATCCAGTATACCGCATTTGGCAGAACACTGCCTACAAAGATTCTTTGGAGATGTCAAACAAGCAAAATTTGCAGTACCAAAGTCGACCAATTTGGCGTGTAGCAATGTACTCTTATGGATGAAAGGCATTGTTTACGGACGTCCCAGACAGATGCAAAAATTTTCTCCACCTTGCAAGTATTCCATCCTCAAGTGTATCGTCTTTTTTTTTCAGTCAAATAGTATGAAAAGTAACTGCTCTGTTTACAGATGTATTGTAAATGTGTGGTTCATTTTTAAAATCGTGACGACGAGTTTGACTGCGGTCTTTGCCACACAGGAGCTCAAAACACCCATACAAACAGGCATCACCTCAACGCTCAGCTCAGGCACTTCCAGTGCCTGAATACTCTCATATGTAAGCAGGAGAACCATTTGAGTAGAGATAGAAACCGAGAAGTGTGGATGCGTGCGTGTCGCGCGCGGTCGCGCCATCGTCACTATTTTTCAAATGCCCTTTACACGTAAATGAGTACAACACTGAGCTACGTTTGTATCTTTTGATTGAATAGAGTAACTCTAGTGGAACCTCCAGGAAGTGTCGTTCCTAATAAATTTCAGAAACCACATGAGGATGTAAATTCACAATTTGCTATGCATGAGAATAGTTAGCATAATAGGTACCTTGCTGAAATTAGTGGTCGCCATGACCTTGTAGTGATATCGTTAATGAAAATGAAATCGAAAAACAGTTTCACATCACTTTCGATTCTTTTCGCGGTCAAGCGGAACTCTGTTTTGTTTTGTGTAATTGAATGAGTTTACTAATCATCTGAGTAAAGTGATTATTTTCTGCATGGGTGTGACTCAAAATTCAGTTGATACTACCATCGGAAATTGTCTTATGAAAGGTTGACTGCCTTCTGATCACGGATTTTACAACAAGATTACAGCATTCTCAAGATTTCAAGATCATTGTCGCATTGTACATAGATGGCGCCTCCCGGTCCCGCCCGGAATTTGGGCTACTTGGTCTCAAACGCATTGAAACTCACTGCCCTTCTTCATATCTGTGATGAAATGTGATGTCTTCCTTGCTGACTTAACACCGCACCTTTTTCGCCGAAAAATGTACATAACTTCACCGCCCAACTTACATGACCATGGGGAAATGATCCAACAATGGTTGGTGAATCCTCGATGTAAGTAAACAAATCAATAAATCGATTGGAAGGCCTAACAAATTGTCGCAAAGAGTAGCCTATCTTCTGCGCCATGCCTTCTTTATACGGGGACGAATTTTAGCCCCATCGGTTCACACACAAAAGAGTCTATAAGCCACATACTTACAAACGAACAAATTTACAGAGATTCAGTTCTATTTATATATATAGATAATAAAAAATACCTGAAGATACAATTTTTCTTACGGAAACTCTTCTGGACATTGCTTAATCACAATAACCCTACCCTACTACTGGCCAAAATAATCAGGAGTGGTAGTAAATTGGTTGAAACCATGATCTTACTAATTGCTCATAATCCGAGGTAACCCCAGATTTGATCTAACCACGCGGTAATCAATAGAGTTCCACAAGTGAACAATTTTTCACTAGCTTCTAAGTACAGTAAAGCTATTTCATTGAAGTAGCCCAAACCTCCAGTCTTCTCATGCTCGATCGTCAATTATTTTACCTGATTTGCAGTTCGTAGCTTGTACTAGGTTGTAACGAAAGTTTTGGCAGTGTTTTCAAAACCATTATAAAACAACGCATAATAAAAACCTGAATGAGTTTCAACTGCAGCTTTTCCTTCTCTTTCTTAAGGATACATTTTCGAACCACTTTCTTGTATGCATTTTTTGATAATTGCCAAATTCTCCACCCATCAATTTTATCTGCTCAAAGCTAGGTTAATTCTTAAAAAATTCATTCCAAAGTTTCGGAAAGGGTTAAATATGGATCAAAGAGAACTATTCTCGGACTACAAGGTCTTAGATTTCCCCAATCTGCTGATTTTAGCTTCAAGACTTATTTCGGAGGTTTCTAGCTAGAATTTTGGCAAACGCATGAAACACGCAATTGCAGCGGACACACAAAAGCTTTTGAAGTTTCTGCGAGCTGATTGAACCAACTGATTTGCTTTGAAAAAAAAAGCTTTTTAGAATTTTCGGTACTTTTAAGTGGTAAATGTAATTAAAAACGCGGTTATCAATGAACAATTAAAACGGGCTTGGTAAACGTGGCCCATGTAACCTAAAATGAGTACAAAGTAGCCAAAGCTTTGCACTACATAACAGTTACCGGTGCTCTTTGAAAACATCAGAATAAAAGCTTTAAAAATTCGCGAAAAATTCGGCGTTACTGCTGATCTGCTCAGAAGGCCTTGGCGATAACATTTCAAGTACAGGGTAGAGACAGCAAATATAGCTGTGAAAAAGAGGATAAATCGAATCAAGTGGCACCTAAGTCATCCATGGATTGGTATTCTGTGAATTTTAGTGAGTGATGAAAAAACGGACAAAACTTCCGGGACCTAATATTTTCCCATCTTATCTAGGGAGCAATCAAGTGTACTTCCTTATACATCTTGACGTGTGCAACATTGCATTGATAACGGGGTTGTCAGGGGTACTTTTTCATTTTAAATGATCTAGTGGTCTCACGTTCCGCGTTTCCTAAAATGAAGTGTTATTTACATTACTCTAACTGGTAACAAAACAATGATTTTCACATGGTGGGGAACGGTCCTTTCGCACGGGCGATCACCGCTTTGGTTTGACTTGTCTTCCCTAGGCAAGTAACGCTAGTTGTAATAAATATTACTGGCCATTTCGGCATTTTTAGCGCAAAATTCGAAAAATGCGATTTGAATGTTTGTTTTTATCAGATTTTCCAACCCAGCATAGCAACAATAATCTCTGCTTCAAGTACTACTTGCGCATAATTTCTTCCCTCTAGCCATATCAAACGGATTCATTCTACTTGGAGGAATTTGCAATTTTCAAGAGAAATAACGCAAGACTTATGTTTAACCCTAGTAATCGCTCATTAAAGCAGCGGTAACCGTTTGTCAAGCGCAATAGTGTATAAGTTTTAATGACATATAGCAATAGTTATTCCGCGTTCTCGCTTGGAACAAATAGGCCAAGTTTTTCCAAGCTTTTGAAGAGGTGAAATAATTAGTGAAACGAACTCCTGCAAGTTGTTTTGAAGATAATGCCTACTCGGTTTGAATAATTATTTTTAAAGCCATCAGAATTTCAGTCAGTGAGGCTATCTAATGGTGAACTGAGTTTACTTAATTTCTTCAACAAAGAAAACAGCGATATTATCACTACATTGAAACCCAAAAGGAAGATGTAGTATCTAATTATGGAATTGCATTCCAATGAGAAACGCTTGAAGAGAAGTGTGCGATATATTTTTAGTCACATACAAAACGAAAGTGACCATGTTCTCTCTGAATTTATGAGAAACACTCGTAAAGGATGTTTTACATCTCTTCGCAATCACCTGTACAACATTTCTAGCGATAGTCATTAAGCGTTCTCTTCACTGCAACCTAGCGATGGCTATCCCTCTATCGCTTTGGCCTTGGCGAATTTCAAGTGATTTCAAACAGTGATAGTTCTCAAGAAACGCCGACAACGACGAAAAGACGAAAAACTTGTACGGAATGGTATAAAAGATTGTATTGGAGCCTCGCGCGATTAGGCTTAGCGGATACTGTGATGCCATTTCCTATGCTTTTCTTTTGCTGTTTATCGTATCAACAAAATTATTGATTTGCTCGTATAAATCGCATTGAAATTGGATTACTCTATTTGTGTTAAAAAATCTGATTTTTGATGCTTATTGGAAAGTCGAGGAAAGTCGAAAATTACATTAATTATTCGTAGAATAATTTACAAGTATCATATTTCCAAAAAGAAAGAAATGGCTGAGAGTAAAAGGAATTTACTGGACCCGCCAAATTGCAAAACACTGGTATGATCGCCAGAATCTGGGCGTTTTTCTCGACAACTTATATTGAAATGCCTTATATACCAATGATGATTTTTTTGAAAACCTCTAAGGCGCATCTCTCCACAAAATCGGTGGAACTAGAGCCGATTAAAAATTCTTTGTAAAATTTTAATGCAAGATTGAGAGATTTGCTTAAGGCAGAAATTGAGTTGAGGCCATGGAGTCGCCTGAAAAATTGTCTGAGGAAATTCAACATTCATGCCCATGGACTAAACATTAGGTGGTAATAATCAGTGACTTGGTATTTTTAGAGTAAAGCTATCCTCATTCTTTTTTTTTTGCAATTCAATTTCATCCACATTTCATCCATCATTTCAAAATATATCTAAAAACAATTTTTCCATTAAATATAAAGTTTAAAGTTTTGTGTGAATTGTGGGCACGACTTTTGAATCAAAAATGGGATTTCCATGTTTTTTTTTTCTACAAAGTCATATTTGTGATACGTAACTCGATCGAATGCAAAACATTTTACCTTAGAACCTTACCTAAAAATTTTTGCTAGTATTGTTTCACTAGCACAAGATTAGGTATGAGAAGAAAGAAATTGTGTACACAGTTTTTTTTCAAGAATAACTAACATCATAGATACATTCTGAGAGAAAGTATCTATCTTGTATCAAAGCGCTAGCATTTGAAAGAAAATTTTTTTCATAATAAAAGGCTTTGCTAATTATTTTGCCTATTGATTACCTTCGTGTTCTCCTAACCTAGTCTTTTGTTTTTTCTTCTGAAATTTTTTGTTCTCAGATGCTTCGTTACATCTTGCTGGCTTTGGTCAGCATCTCTTCACAACAACCACAGATACCAGAGAATACATATGAGACGTGTACGATGAAGTTGGACAGAGGAGACGCATGTTGTGCAGCGCCAAACAACTCCATACGGGTATGAATCATATACAAGTAGTGAACTACTTTTTATTGCCAATATAGTGTTCCGGCAGTGAAGAAAGCAAGCTCAAATAATGGTTTCGGAGCTCAATTTTCCAAGATTTGCGCACCACATTCGTGTGCTACGACCAAGTGTTGCCGGTTGCGCAAGAGCCTGCTTCAACCTCTGTTTCAATGGGAGTGACTGGCGGAGGGCGGAGCTTCGAATACTCATTAAGCCTGAGAAATGATGGGAAAGCACGCTCGCGAGAGAGATGCAGAGCCCACAGCCCCCCCCCCCCCCACCCCCGTACTTCCAATGATACAGAGGGTATCTTCTGATTCTTCAAGAGTTGGGCGAGAAACACATTCAATAACCCGCGGAAGTACTGTCATGCCGGTGCTGAAAAACGCTGGCATTTTTCGGAAGTTTAGCAGTGGTTTGCCAAAGTCCTGCGGAATTTCTCGTTTTCAACCGGTCTGACATGAAAACCCTGCTTAAGTTTCCAACGTTTCCACCTTTGCAATAGCAAACAAAATCTTGCGGAACCGCTGCAAATTTTGCTTATCCTGCGAAAGTCCCCGTGAATTGTCTGGGTAATTTTCATGAATCTCTGAAACTCTCGCATGATCTCATGTTTGAGGCATGCTGATGGGTGTATGAGCGCTATTTTTATTGCCAGATGGACACCAGTTAGCTCATTTCAGTGTTTAAAAACGTTCTGCCTGTCAAATTTTTGATAAAATAATTCTATGCAGCCTTATAACTAAATTAAGTTTGAAAGATAGATATTGGAGGACAAAAACCCCGTTTCCCCATGCTGACAGAGTGCAAAGACCTACCCATTGTCATCCGAGATCCATGCGCGACGTGCGTCCACTTCATGGCTGTAAATGGGTTTTTTGGCCATTTTCGCTCGGTGGTGTGCTCCAGGTAATAAGCGAGGAACCGGATGTGCTATTTAAACGAACATAGTTGTTAGTGTTTGGCTAATATCGGGAGATAGCGCAATCATGTTTGCATACCTTTACGTGGAACGACTTTGTTGGATTTTAGACCAATATTTTCCTCGAATTAGTAGAACTCATTTTCCAGCTCGTATTAACTTTTGCACGATGCACACGAAAAGTTTTTGAAAGCATATGTTATTTTTCGCCTATTTTTACTCCTTGTTTTTGAGACATTAAGGCGCGCTAGAGTGTCGTTACAAGTGAGAGCGTTAAAATATACAGAATACCTACCTATGTCTGGGTGGGAGGTAGTGAGAATTCTGCTTAATAGTTTTTTTTATCATTAATTCATGATCATTGTCATCAAATTTTCCAAATTACCTCGTAAAACTTTCATCAGAAAACTTTCTGAGTGAAAACTCTTGTTTTCTCATTGTCAGTAATCGAACTCGTTTTAAAAATGACCGCCGTCCACGTCTCGCTATAAATGTGGCTCCAACGAAGGCATAAGAGTAGAAAATTGTCGGGGTGCGTAGCAAGTGTTACCCAGGCAGCCGCCTGGTGCCGCGGCCAGCCGTCAGAGGTGGCACCAGCGTCGCAGTTGAGCTACCGTAAGCGCGCTTTCGTTGTCCGCAACCTTCGCAGAGAGATTTTCGCAGCAGCCTCGCACCTCATTGCGCTGAGGTGCGAGAATTCCCTCAGAGGTCGCGCTACTGCCGCATATCATATATCGATCAAGACAGCAGAAAAATTGTAGTTTACTGATAAGATGAAATACAAAAAATAGACGAAAACAAAAATAAGTTCAAAAAAATAAATTGACGGAATGCTTATAAAATCAAATTAAAAGCATAATATTATGGAATAAGTCCATAAAAAATAAAAAAGGGGACCGCAGAAGCAAAGAATAAGCCCCAGTATAACCACTTCAACGAAACCGCCTTCTCGATTTCGAAAACTTCATGGAACTGTAGGTTTCCTGACTAGAATTCGACTATGCTCGGTAGAAAAAAAATGACTTTAGCAATGGAAGCTAGAAGAAAAGTCTTAGCAAATTTTATGAGAACGGGCTATGCAAACTAAAGGTATTCGTTTACTACGTAATTCCTCGTTTCTTTTTTACCTCAAAATCAAGGAATTGTCGATTTTTTAGAGCTCCTCGCAAGTCAATAGGGTAAAAATGAACAGAATCCCCGAAGAGTAAAGAATTTTACCGGATGGGGAGGGAAGGATCACAACGAATTGTGCCAAAAAACTAATCAATGATCTACTTTTATGAACTTATTCCATAATATTATGCTTTTAATTTGATTTTATAATTACCCCGACGAGTTATTTTTTAAACTTATTTTTCTGTTTTTGTGTATTTATTCCATCAATTTATTTTGAATCTTATTTTTTGTATCTGTATATTTTTTGTATTTTATCTTATCAATAAACTACAAATTTTCTGCTGTCTTGATCGATATATATATGATATGTGGCAGTAGCGCGACCTTTGAGGTAATTCTTGCACCTCAGCGCGATGAAGTGCGAGGCTGCGGAGAAACTATCTCTGCGAGAGGTTGCGGACGACGAGAGCGCGCTTACGGTAGCTCAGCCGCGACGCTGTTGCCAGCTGTGGCGGCTGGCCGCGGCACTAGGCGGCTGCCTGGGTAACACTTGCACGCCTCCCAAATTGTCGCAGTAAAGCGTTTACAATTCAGCGTTTACGATCTAGGCGAGGTTGCAGAAGCTTTGATACATTCTATGCTAGCATAAGCAAGTAATCTTTCGGGTCAATATGAGTTGTACTCAAAATAACTCAAATTTCGAACAGTATTTTGTGAAGATGTGAAGAAGAAATCCTAAGCGAATCATATACTTTGCAGTTCTTCTTTGATGACGTTCTGGAACAATGTTTCACGTACCTGTACGAAGGATGTGGTGGTGGCAGGAATACCTTCTACACGGAGTCAGAGTGTTACAGTACTTGTATGCCAGGTGGGATTGAACAAAAATTGTCTGCTTGGCTCTATTCCACCCAAAAAGCGAAATAATGATCTTTGATTCTTTATTTGGTTTTTACTTGTGGAAGGGTTACTTTGCTCAATGTTCGTTTTCAGTTGTCATTGTTTGTTTGAGAGAGTAAACACAAACTTTTGAAAAATATGATTGGTCAGTTTAATTGTCCCGAAACTCAAAAAAAAACATACAGAAATTAGTCTAGGAAGTGCTTAAAAGTCATGCCACAAGGAAAATTAGGGTCGCTTTTGATTGGTAAAAACTGCTCTTGTATAAAAATAAGCAAACAAATTCTCAGTACAAAAATCATTTATCTCTGATAGATAACAAAATTTGTGCCCCTTGGAGGAGCGCAGGTTGTTTTTTTTTTGCAAAAAATGATTACTCTGAATATGTTAACGTCATGCGACACTATCGATCACTCAGTACTATAATAGTAAAAAAATAGCTTTTTGTTCTTATTTTTCACACTTACAACAAAAGCTTCTGCGTTTCTGTGTCTGAGTGTACTTACAAAGTCTGCTCCTTGTTTTTTTGAGTCAATCCATTGCATGGTTCATTTACTTTTAGCCGACAAATTCAATTGCGGCGGAAACAAGCCACCCGTGGGTGGCTGTCATGAACTTGACATGAATTGCCCAGCCGGCAGCACTTGCATCCAAGGAGCTCTTGGAGTGGGATTATGTTGTGAAGATGTTGAAGAAGGTAAGTGAGAGTTTGTGCACTTAAAATGTGTCCCATACATGCTTTTTTCAAGCAAGATGGGCAAAAGAGATAAATCCGACATGTACTGTCGGCCAAGTTCTTCTGCGGAATGTTTGGTACGGCACAGAAATATGGTTAGGAAAGAGCTGTGCTCATAGGCAAGTTGTTCTCTTAAGGCCATTTGGAGTGTTGGAACGGAAAAACGTTTAAACCGATGTATTCACCGTCGAATTGCTTAGAAATCGCGAGATCGAATTGATTATTGTATTCGTTGTTTGAGATACTTCGATTTGAACTTCGGTGGGCATACATAACGTAGCGAGTGTTCACTTCCAAAAACGTTTCGCTATATTCGAAAGCAGTCGACGATGGTACCCGGATGCTAAATTTATGAAAGCACTCATTTTCTCGTAGAATTACCGAATAGGTATAGGGCATTTATAAAATCATGACGATGACGGCAGTGGCACGCGGTCGCGTACGCAGATTTGGCAACCAAATCTTCTTAAATCTCGTCTCTACCTGAAGCCTTTTTTACATACCTTGGATAGCTGTTGAGTACTCGGAGTGGCTGAACGAGTCATAAAGTGATAGCTTTTATTGAATTGTTTGTGTTCTTCTGACCTTTGAACGGACGCAGAGAGCTCGTCGAATTCGTCGTCGCGATTTTATGAAGCCCATACAGATGTTTTCCAAAGCATATAAAAGTAAAATGGCACTGACTCTCAACGAAATTCACGATGATCAGCTCAGAAAGACTGGGCCGGTAGTAATTTGGTCGAAACTTCGAGTTCAAATCTCCGCGCTAACTCAGAGAGGATTCCGAATTTGTTTCTAAAACTCAGAGTTTCCGAGTTTCAACTCTCAGTTTCTGTTGCTATTTGAGGGGCTGTAATGTGCGTTACTGCAAAAACGACGTTTGGGTTGAGGATTCGAAACTATTTGGGGCCGCATGCATTGACAACCCCACGGGGGGGGGGGGAGTAATCGCAGCTCAACAGAAAGCTTCATATCCTGAAGCTCCGAAATTCGGATTTCATGCTGTCTAACTACCCTTAAGTATTCACCATCTTTCACTATGAAAATATTAAACAGGAGCGAGAAGCTTCGCCGCGTTTTCCAGCTTTTTGCATGATCCCCTGATATTCCCGGCCCGCCGTCCTTTCTCCGAAATCAATTCCTTTTTTCGAAGGTAACGAAAAGCTTCCGAAGCTGTGCAGATCATCTAACTTAACGCCCGGGATCATCAGTGGATTCAAAAGCTGGAAAATGCGGCTAAAGGAGCAAAGCTCCTTTAGCCGCATTTTCCAGTTAAAAGAGCTTCGTTCCTTTTCAATATGTTCATAGTGAAGTAGGATTACCGGATAGGTAGACAACGTAAAATCCAGATGAGAGCTTTAGGACACGAGCCTTTCTTTTGAGCTGCGATTACCTTTCAGTGGGAATGTTAGTGCATGCGGTCCTTGGTCAGTGCGATGATCCTATCGCCAAACCTCTAGACCACACCCTTTAATATATTAGGTTGTCCCGGAAGTTGTCGCACCATTTTCAAGAATTCATAACTTCTAATTATTCTAACCGATTTGACTGCTTCTACCTTTGTATGAAAAAGTAAGTCATGCAATGACATCTTAGCTGCTTGCTAATGTTCATCTGTTGCATAGGTAGGAGTGATAGAAGAAAACCGGTCAAAATTTGAATTTATTATGTAGGGTCATAAAAATCGGAAACTTGCAACAAAAATCGAAGCAGTCAGTATTATAGGTTCTTTCACCAGTTTTTTCTAACTGTGCAAAGTTTGTGCCGATTGGCGTCTCTATGAAAAGTTATGATTTCCCTGAAAAATGCCAAAATAAATCAAATTTGCCCTTTTGTATTGCTTGCTCGAAAATCATAACTTTTCATAAAGACGCTCAATCGACGTAAACTTTGCACTGTTAAAAAGAGCTGGTAAAAGAACCTACAATACCGACTGCTCCGATTTTTGCTATAGGTTTCAGATTTTTTATGACTATACAAAGAAAATTCAAATTTTGATCAATTTTTTTCTATCGCTCCTATCTATGCAATAATTGAACATTAGCAAGCAGCTAAGATGTCTTTATAAAGTGCATGACTTACTCTTTCATACAAAAATAAAAGCAGTCAAATCGGTTCGAAAAACCAGATGTTATGAATTTTTGAAAATGGTGCGACGAACTTTCGGGACAACCTAATAGAATTGCTTTTCCTTGATGCATTAGATGCATTAACACAAAGCATGTCAAAACATGTTATGTGATAGCCGCACTGATTTTCAAATTTATCGAGAAGCGGTGGTTTATCGCACGGATTGGACCTTTGCGCAGCCGAAAGCTTCAAACAGATAGAGAAAGCGGATAGCATTTGCAACAGAAAGAATTGACTATTTTCTGCGCAGAGCAAACCCTCTGGACAACGTCTGGCCTTAAGATATGATTCTGGCTCAATTACCGTATGTCGACCGCATCCCTGCTAGATGGCACCACCGCGTAAAGGATTTTGTAGACATGCGGTCAGCGCGCCAAAAGCACCGGACCAAATTTTAAGCTTTTATTTCATCCCATTCATGAAATACCTACCGTAATTACTCCAAGTGACACTGTACGTAATAGACTGTCCGGAATCTGGGCCCCAATAGCCCTAGTGTACCAAGTTTCAGTGATTCTGTCATGTTGGCCCACCTAACATAAACTACAATAACATCGCCAGCTGTCACAGCAGTAGAGAATACCATGTTTGTGATAGTGCACCGAATAACCCCATCGGCCTAAGTCTTGGCCAATTTCGTGATTTTCTACTGTCTACCGTAAACTTACTCATGCTCAGATAATCGCCGGCGCAGGCGGTCTGCAAACACGCGCTTTTCTGCAAGCGGTTAGCAAAAGTTTGGGGCGTGGCCAAACTTTCAGCGAGCGGTACTTCCGTGTCCTGCCAGCGGGCAGCAATACAAAATTTCCTGTAAGCGCACGTCAAATAATCTCTTTCAGCGAGCGCGGGCCAAACTTTCAATAGGCGCTCGGACTCTTTTTACGCAGTTTCGGGCGTACGCCGAGCTACGGTAACACTCTACATAACAGATGTGTTATTGATGGATCATTTTTCCGAGGGGTACTTTCTCCCAGCGGAAGGTACCTACAGGCTGTGGGGTCCTTCACAGAGGACCGTGCGGCCCCTCAACAACTTTCATTCTGCGGAAAGTCCGCGAGAATGCGGCTACTGCGCCGCAACCTATACACAGAAAAACCGCGATAGTTCTCCGAGCATTAGTCTAAAATTTTACCAAAATTCTTCCACATATCTGCAAGCGGACCGCAAGAAATCAGCGAACTATTTTTCCGGTGCCCGCCTGCCCATAAATCGCTTGACTGCCTGCCCCCGGCGATTATCTTAGTGGGATGGATCACGGGGGGTGAATAACCCGCTATACGATCCCATGCTGAAAAAAATGAATACCCTATTCGTGTCCACGGCGCCTCTTAGCCAAAACTTCACAAAATTTTGAAATTTTATAAACAACAGCGCACCACGATACCATCACGCTTGCTGAAATTACGAGCAGATGTACTCCAGTGGGATTTTTAGCTGCCCCTCTTCTTTAATGAACTATTTCTCCTTTCGTGACCAAGCTCAGAAGTTCTTCACTAGAGAGTGGAACGATTTCGGGCGGTCACTTAATTGCCAAATTCGGAGTTATCGCAGAGCTCAGTTCCGCGGTTGGCGGCAGTGCTTCTTCAGAACGATATGGGCGATGTTTCCCTGCTAGGAACCGGTCACGGGGTATCCTGCCTTATCATCGCTTTTCACATTTGGTCTAATCAAGCACCTATTAAGGGGGTCAAGGTGCGCATCAGCTTAGAGATAGCTTAGAGTTACAAGTGTGGATTTCGACAGGTTTACTACAGATCCTAAACTTTGTTTTTTTAGCATCTATTTACAGAAATCGTCCTTAAAATGATGTAAATCTAATTTACCCACACCTAGTCTTCACTGTTTTGCTTCATGAGCATTATTTCAGATTCTGTCCGTATGGCTACGATTGCATCCAGGGCGATCGCGTAGCACACTGCTGTGGGCCTATTCCCAACTTCAAGGAGAAATCCTACGAGGGGGATGATAACACTATCGTTGATGGTTCTTACCTGCACAAAAATTACAGATTAGTTCAGCAAAGGCTAAATCGCCGTACATTCAGATACCGCAGCTAACTTTGAGTATAATTATGAATTATTGAGTTTAACAGGAAAGATATGCAGTCATTATCATTTATTGTTATTATCACTAACAAATGCGATAGGTTTATGGTTAATCCATTTTTAACCTGTTAGATGCAAATGCAGATTTCATCCATATTGCGCTTAATTTTCTCACGTGCAAACACGGGGGCGTTCGGGGTAGAAGCTGTTGCAGTCTTTCTAAATTTTGTATTTTCAGACATTTAGTTAAACCTCCACTAAAAATTTGCAAGAACGTGTACGCAAATGGCCCTTAATTATGCGCAATTTGGGCAACGAAACATCAGATTATGTTTTTAAATAGGCAAATTTTGACATTCGTCCTATAATTTTATGCTTTCAAATAATATCTTCATGACATTAATTTAAAGTGAAAACATCTTGGAAATATAACAATGTGCACTTCTTGATTTGTTTGCTGGGACTTTCTTAGTATTTGAAAGTACAAGGTCAACGCGCACCAGAATGACCTTGTATCTACGCAGCGCAAGTTTGCTCACTAAACTTTTCAGTGGCTTTTTTGCGCACGGTAAACAACTGCTTAAGATTCATTTTTGACAGTACACTCAACAACTAGTGTACTGACCGAGCGTGCTATTCTTCGTACCATTCCCAACCCTCGCACCATTTTATTGACTCAGACATCTGAATGAACTCGTTTTTCATGTGTCTCATTTATTGTCAAATCGTCCTATGCTGCTTTTATACATAAATCATTGATGAATGGCTTTTTTGGAAGATCTTTACATAAACTGTTCTACTGTTTACTATCGAATGACCACAATCGAATCTTCAAGTTCGACTTACAGTAAATCTTGTTATCATGATATCGTTGCTTGAAATGGTTCCTTCATCAAGATCGTTGTTATTTTTCTTTGCTGATGTCGGCCAACTTGAATTCTCTGTGAGTGGGAAGCAGTTGAGGTTCACCCTCCCAAATATATTATTATGCATAGAACAGGCGTGAAGTTGACTGGAAAGCAAAAAGGATGACTGCCTAAGGATTCAGCCCACCTAAGACTTTCCATTGTATGGGCGTGTCGCTACCTGGATTTAGTACAAACCCGCATAACTGCAGAAAAGGCGCAAGTCTATTGGTTATGGCAATGCATCCATTCTTCGTGCTCAAGAATTCTTACACGAGATCAACGCCTTGTAGTGTCTTGCGCCCTGCGAACCTTGTCTCTCGTGACGGGACTGACACCGGAATATCAAATTATGTACCATAGTGTTGCAGCTTCCCATGAATGTGCTGGGGCGCTAAAGGTTTTGACTCGCTCAGCCCATCTAAGTGTTCCTTGATCCTAGTGCATAGTACCCTTCCTGCCTTTGCATTGTATTCATGCTCGGACAATCTACCAGGTTGTCCCATAAGTTCCGTCCGTTTTGAATTTCAACCGCAATAAGTCATACTTCTTCTTATTTCTAAAAGGTTGCAGAATGCCGCCCGATAGAGCAAAGCAAGCTCTACAAAATGGCGTTCTCTTTATTGCACTAGCTTTGATACACCTCGAGTTTCAAGCCAAAAACTAAAAAATTGAACTGCTCGAAAAATCGAGAGAAAATCGTGACTGCGTCCAAAAAATCATACAAATTCTAAATTGCTCAGTATACACTGTAAACTTAAGACATTTACATACGCCGCTCGCGTATCTTTTCCTCGCATTAGAAATTGAGAAAACGAAGATTTTCATGCTTTTGCCAAAATACTACTAGCCAGTAGTAGTACAAATACAAAATCCCAAAGCTACACAAGCTCTAGTTTTCGGAAAATAACAAATTTAGCTTTTTCCGGGCCTGGTATGATAAAATTATAGCAATCCTGATAAAAGCTAAACTGTTTCAAGTTTCAAGCAGTCAGAGTCAGCAGAAATCTACTACTATAAAGGAAAAGAAAATATATTGTGTTTAAGATCGCAATACATCTCGAGCCATAATTTCTAACGATGACGATCATTTTAGATGTTTGTTGTCGCTCTGATACTGTCATTGGTCTGCCTTTCCGTGCTGCAGCCAAAGGAATCTGATGAGAGAATTCATTCATGCGCCGAACTTTTGGATCGCGGAAACTCGAACTGCACTGTCCCAAAAGCTGGTTTGCGGGTTAGATACTTTCTTACTAACCGAAGAAAGAGCGGGACACCAGCGCTGATTCGAAAGTTTGAAAGGAGTGCATGTATCATGTACTGTCTGATTTTAGTGGTACTATGACAGTGAATTAGACGATTGCTTCGAGTACTACTTTGAGGGTTGCGACGGAGGAAATAACACCTTCTTTGACTACAGATCATGTCGGCGGACCTGCATACCGGGTGAGCTGCCACAGATGAAATTTGCTGTGATGTAATGATCCTATTTTACAGCTGACAGAAGTAGATGTGGTGGAAATGCGAAGGCTACTAGTACATGCGAGAGACTCAATACCACATGTCCAGAAGGAAGTGAATGTAATGTGAGTCCTATGGGGTCAGGGATCTGCTGCGATAATGAAAACGAAGGTTAGGATTTTATGCAGACTGTAAGATACCTTTGAAAGTGTAGGTTATAGTATATTTACGTTAACTTTGAGCACTGTGGAAAGAAGAGAAAAACCCAAAGTGTGAGAATGGAACCCTGTTCAAGACAATGGAGTGGTATGGCGAATCAACTCGATTCGGAAGGAGTTGCTCACATAAGTATGTTCGCGTACACAGTTGAATAGCAAAGTATCCTCGCATATCTACAGATTCTGTCCGAACGAGTATACTTGCGTCCAAGGAAAACGCTTAGCTCATTGTTGCAGTATCTAGAAATCTTGTAAAACCTAGTTGAAGCGCCTATGTTTAGGAATGAAATAAAGAAGTTAAATTATGCAATTCTTTTCTGCGATAAAAAACTAGGCAAAACTCTCCCTCCGACTCATCAGACAACTGGTTAATAATCTATAAATAATAATAAACCATAGGAGAAGCTGAATATTGTGAAGTCATTTGTTACTCGATATGCTTATCGCACACCGCTACTTAACAACTTGGAGGATTGGAGCCTTCTCACTGCCAGTATCTCCCCCTGTTTTTTTATCCCTTTGATTTGATTCGCCATGTATTATTAGGGTGAACGGTAAAATGGGGTAGCCTGATTTTTGTTACAAGATTTTTTATTTCAGTCAAGAACAAGCAGGCTGCAACTCTAACGTCGCTTGCATAACCGAGCTTCCTATTATTCTGGTAACGCTTTAACGCTCCTCTCCCAAAACTCTGCGCGTGGCGCCGTATAGAACTCGAACATGGCTTTTTGAACATCTCTCTTACTTGCGCTGCTACACCGTAAAGTCATAAAGCAATTGACATATCTTTTAAAAAAGCTTTTTATGCTCTTTTAAACAGTACATTAAACATATAGGATTTCCTTTTGATTCTGGATAAACAAAAAGCAAAATACTTGAAAAGTCGCGATTTTTGGCGCAATAAAAATCAAAAAATCATGTTTCATCCTATCTTCAGAGGACAGATAAAATTTGAGATAAACTGCATGTGGATGGGTAGAGCATAAAGAGCTCTATCAGATGGTAGCCATATAGCGTGCGTTCACTTGCTAAGAAGCAAATAACATGTACTTCGCTCCGGGAAATGCTAATGACCATATCTCCTGACTTCAAGCGTTGCGGCCAGCAAGCATCGTGGGTTTGGTGACTGTACCTCCACCCATTGTAGCAATGTCATTTTGGATGGTCTCACATGTTTCACTGCGCAGATATTACTCACATTTTATGATTTCTCGAAGTGACTGACAGTGATTTCTCGAAGTGATTTCAGCAATTATAAAAACTATTGAGTACGTTGATGACCTTATGTAGGTGTTATCTGAGAGAGTAGAATACATTCTAATATCTGTCAAAATTGGAAAGTTTAATTACTTCTCTTTCTTGAGAAATTCACAGTTATTCTCTAGGTGCCGCATTTTTTACCGTTCACCCTATTATTTAGTAGTGTTTCCACAACTTATAGGGCTACGTAAGGTTTTGCTGAGGAGTTTTGGTAAGAATTCGTCGATCGCCGTCGAGCGTCCAGAACTGCAAGAATAAAGAAGCTGAGAGTGACAAAAGCGATTGAAACAAACGAAGGAATCAACATCTTGAGACTATCACGTGTTTGTCGTATTTTAAGCTACCCAAAAAACTTGTTGTTGTCGGTTGTCTGGTTCTCAGTTATCAAAAGGTTGTCTAAAAACCTTAGCAGTAGCTACATGTCCTCCTTTGTAACAAGTGCCGACGGTGAGGGTACGTTCGACCTTAAGCAAGAAAAACGATCGAAAAGCGGTGAAACTTACGCTTTGGGGCGTAGTCCTCCACCTGTTTTGAATTCCTGCTCTGCAGCAGAGTACGGCCGCCACTGTTGGCGACTCTGCATCTCAGCTGGGGACCGTCCAGCATCAATGCTAACGCTTGTTTTCGCCGTTTTCGCGCCTTCTAATGCGATGGATTCAGCGTTGCGGATCACCTTCGATAAGCGGATTTCTCGAAAATCGAGTTCTTGCAACGACTCTGACACTGCCTTTAAGTTTCAACGCATGCACGTGTGGTCTAACTCTTTATGCTGCCTGTTAGCATGTACCACATCAAGTTGTCTTCGTACTTTAATTCTTGTCCGCGCACTTAGACAATCGCGGGGCAGGCGGACCGCAAACTCGCGCTTTTCTGCAGGCGGTCAGCAAAAGTTTGGGGCGTTGCCAAACCTTCAGCGAGCGGTACTTCTTTTAAAGTCGCATATTCTGCCAGCGGGCAGCAGTAAAGAATTTTCTGCAAGCGTTCGTCAAATAATTTCTTTCAGCGAGCGCTGCCAAACTTTCAGCAGCTCTGACTCTTCTTACGCGGTTTTGGGTGTACGCCGAGCAAAGACAACACTCTTCATAACAGAGGTGTCATCGATGGCTCAACTGCCGAGTTTGAGCTACTCTCTTTCAGCGGTGCGGCCACTGCGCCGCAACTAATCCGTGAAGACCGCGTTCTTCGAACATTCCTCCAAATTCTCGTTAACATTCGTCCAAATATCTGCAAGCGAATCGCAGGAAATCAGCGAACTATTTTTCCGGTGCCCGCACCCATAAATTCCATGGCCCCTGCCCATGGCGGTTATCTGAGCAATCCTTGTCTATGTGTTTGTTGTCTATGTAATTTGTTTAAGAATCCCCGTTCAATTTTCCGCCACCTCGAATTGTTGAATATTTCATGTCTAGTTCCGTTGTGCTTTTTTATTAGGTTGTTCCATAAGTTCGTAGCAGGGCCCGGCACGAGTCCGTTTCCAGGGTTTTTAAAAACGAAGTCCCCCCTGACTTTCGAGAATTTTACGAAGTCCCCTTTGACCCTTGCCTATCCCCCCCCCCGCCCTCGCCATCATAGTCTGGATCAACAAGCGCATGACATACATTTCCAAAGGATCTTTAAGTATTTCCATGACGCCTTTTGACTCCAACAAACCATTGTTGACCATTCTCATACAGACCTGAGATTGGAAAATTAAATTGAAAAAAATTGAAAAATCCAGCGAAAATCAAGGCTCCGATGGAATATATTAGGTCATTCCGAAAGTAATTTCGCTTTTTTCAAACGGGCGCCACATCTGACGGAACAAAGGTTTCTAAGAGAACTTGGTAGCATTCGAAACAGCATTTCATTCTCTTTCTAATGGTTATGGAATTGTTGCAAGATAGTCAATGAGCTTTCAAAAAATACCAAAATCTGCGACCTATGCTTTTTGAGATAGCCAAGTTTCACAATTTTTTAAAACTTTCATATCAATTGTCAGAAGAAGTTCAAGTGACGATTCGATAGAGCAAACTTCATAGAATACAGTGCAACTTTTTTCTCTTTTCCACAGCTTGTCATACATTTTTAACAGAATTTTAACTGATGCTACCCATTTCCATACTTGGACAGCTAAATCCTAGTAGAACATCAAACCTTGAGCAGCTTGGGTGTCATTCGATGCAGCTTTTTCTCCTCTTTCTAATGGGTATTTTTTGTTTCCGATTCGTTTAGTTTCCGGAGATAAAATTATCATAACTCATTTTTTAAGGAGCCTCAGGCTGTACCCGAAAAACTCGAAATTTGGTATTTCGAACCCGTAAACCCTCACTTGCTTTGTAAAATTAATGCTAACTCATAGTACCATCTTGGTAGTTTCAAATTCCGAAAAATTATGATGTTTGATGCGATTGTGGTTGAAGTGGGCCTGCCAAAATTTGATGGTTCTGCTAAAAAAATCTATTAAAAAATTGAGGCGAGCACGAGAAAGGGAAAAAGTAGCGCTGTATTCTATAAGCTTTACTCTATCGAATCTTTACTTGAACTCCTTCTGAGGATTGATATGAAAGGTTCAAAAAATCGTGAAACTTGACCATCTCAAAAAGCATGGGTCGCAGATTTCGATTATTTTCTGAAAGCTCATTGACTGTTCTGCAATAATTTTACAACCATTAGAAAGAGAATGAAATGCTGCATCGAATGCTACCAAAAACTCTTAAGCTTCTTTGTTCCATCAGATGTGGCGCCCGTTTGAAAAAAAGCGAAATTACTTTCGGAATGACCTAATACTATAGAAGACTTCCGGCGGATGGTCTTCCAAGAAGGATGTCCACACATTGTCAATTCAACAAAGGTATCCCTGGCCTGAATTCCCCTAACAGGCTTCACCTAACCAAATTTCAGATTACTGAGATGGTAAAGTAAAAAGTATGCAGTATTGGCCATTGCAAGAGCTGGTCAGTATCAAAGTTCGGAAAAATGTTTGTCAAAACTAAAAAGGTAGTAAATATCAGATCTTAGGCCTGAAAATGTGAACATTCCCTAATTCGAGCTCTATATTAAGGTATGATATACAAGGTAGAAGTCTTACCTAATGATTGCTCTATTCATAGAAGTGAAGGTCGGCATGCTAATCAAAAATTGCAAATACAATATCATCCAGATGATTCAAGGTACTCCATATGAACAGCTGGCCAGATCGTGGCCTACCTATGAGCGGTCGCCATGTGCTTCGTTTGATTCTTCAAGTTAGAGTAAGCATGACCACGCAAAAGCTGCCTTATCGAACCTTCAGAATCTAAAGCAGCTCAGACGGTAGAAGTTTTTGCTTTTCAGGGTGACAAATTGGACAACGGCCCTATAGTGATGCTTGCTCGGCTGGAGTAGGCAGAACTGGCACAGTCATTATGATTGACATCATTCTAAGGAAATTATTTAGCTGCAAGGAAGTCGATGTAAGCATGAAAAGAGAGGAAACGTCAATTGTAAAAGATTTATATTTTGAATTCAGATAGTAGAGGGTAATCATTACCCTTCGTAACCAACGCGCATCCTGCACCCAGCTCGAGGGTCAATATGCTTTCGTTATACTTAGCGTTCTTGGTTATATAAAGGTGAGTACCGAATGCATTTCATCCGTGATTCCGTTTGTACACTTTTTTTGCAGATCAAATGTCCAAAGTACAAGGAACGAGTAAACAAGTACATCGAAGATTTCCGAACTACGATTCCTGTTGCACAGTCTTGATAACCTTATGAAAGACAGATAATTCAAATTCAAGCCAAACAGTTGAACGATGAAATGATGACAATAAATTAAAGTCTCGAGGCCATGTGTATTGTTGCGTTAGTTGCGCACGATAGACAAATTTAACAAACATTTTCAATGGCATGACAAATTTTTACCTCCTCTAAACAAAAAACATCTGAGTAAATCGTAAACGTAGCAATTCATCAACAAGTAATAGCGTGCACAGATCATAAAGTATTACACGTACAAACAAAGCTTACTTACATGATTGTAAAGCTGATTTTTATTTGTTCCGTCCTCATTTCGTTATGCCATGTTGAGAAGACCCACATATTGCGAGTGTTCGTAGTGCGTAGCGTAAGCAACCAGAGTTTTGCAGAATTAAGCTCTGGTCCGCGCTCTTCTAGGTAGCGGACAAAAAGCAAGTCGTGGAAATCCTAAATATCTTCATATTGGTAAAAAAAACCGAGAGCTTGTTGCTTTAGTGACTGCAAAAAGATCTGTGATCGTGATTGCTATCACATCCACCTCAATACAGTTTTACACCGATGATTCTTCTCGAGGTTATCAACTCATATCACTGTTGAAACTAAAAAAGATGAAGCATGATACGCAGAAAAAAATTAATCAAGATCAGAGAAGTTTTTAACGCTGTTCGTTTCAGGGGCAGAACCATAACACAAAAAGCAGTCAAATCGCAAATTTTTCTTCAGCCAAACATTCTGATAAGACGAAGTTGAAAAACTATGATACAATGTTTTGAACGTCAGCATGTTGCAGTAAAGTTTGAAGCAAACAATTAGACAAGTGAAACGCCAAGTGTACAGATTCCCTGCTTTACACAAAGCCATAAATTCATTATGTAGAGTCACTTACTGGATCGATGTATATGCCACTGCTTGCATAAACCTCAGCAGGGACATCTTCATCGCGTTCTTTGGCTGCAGGAGCTACATAGAACTCTTCTACTCGAAAACCATCTAAAAGGACAGGTATGGTGCATCCTGAAAAAAACAGAGCTAAAACTATCGAATACATTCGAAACTCACATTCTCTTTGAACCTCAACGCTTTCAACCAAATCAAGATGGAAGCACAGGCGCTCGTCTCCTTTGGCGATCTCGACTGTGAAGGGTGGCACTGCTACCACAAGAACGGACTAAGGAAACACTTAATGTTTGTGGCAAAGCGATCAAGCGGTCAAAATTTCGCTCAAAGCTGGAATATGGCAATAACGCGTAAAATGGCGGTGGAGCGCGATATCTAACAAGGCGATTTTCGGTAAAAAAAAGATGATAAAAAACGACGGACAGGGGATGGTATGAAAACGTTTCTATGCTCAGGGATAGATTTTCGACAGGGGCATCCATCCATGCTAACAAGATCCGAAACTTATGTGAAACGATGAAAATATATGCTCCAGACGATCTCAGATCGTCTGGTGGCCGTCTGGAGACGATCTAATTTTGGAAAAGGTATTACTTCACATAAGTTTTCAAATCTTTTTACATAATTCTTCCGCAAATAATTTTCTATACGTATAGTTCAATTTTGGTGTCATATAATTCTGTGTGCGCTGTAAACAAGCGATTTGTTTATTTTAACCTTGCTTTCAAATCGCGCGCACTTTTCGCCATACACGATAGAGCATGTCAATCGTGTGATAGCCTGTCCGAAAAGCTTGTTTTCGTTTGGATGTCGTTTATTCTTGACATAGAGGAGAAAGTGAAGGAATTATCATATCTTATAATGACTGGCTATGGGTGCTTATGTTTTTTGTATTGTGTCTGTCTGAAACAAATCTGCAAATTGCAATTTGAAGACTTGAGACTATGGTCTATCCTGGATCCCAGCCTTAACGTGGCTTTCTTTTTGGAGTACTCCTTAATGCTTTCAAATGAGGACTTTTAGATGTTGGAGTTGGATAGTGGAGAGTTAGCGATGATCAAGCTGGTGACATCTACGGAAGTGCCTCAAAGATTTGAAAGATCTTGGGTTTAGTGACTTAGAGGTAATTTCTTGTTCATTTTCATTGCTCCTGTTTGTTGCATGAATTTTTTGGTGCTTTCATCACTACTCACGTTTTTCATCGAGTTTTCCTTGTGTAATGTGTATTCGGTCTGTTTAGGTTTCAAAGCCAATTAAACCATTCCTGGAAACGAGCGTGTCAGATCCTCAATTGGCAAGCATCCAGATCCACGAGCAAACTTCCGTAAGACTACTAATTTTCCTAGAAACTGAGTTGATCTCTCGATCACTTACTGCACCATAAATGTTTCTCTCAAATTCTTGTTTAGGAATGCCATCTCAGGAGCGACTCCCTCTATATTCGTTTGAGGGTTGCTACGCTACTAGATGAAGTGGTAGCTTTGCTTGAAGAGTCAGCAGAGATTCTGAAGTCTTTAAGAGGAGGGCATGTAGATGACACGACTTTGACAGAATTCAAGTGAGACGTTTAGTGCCGTATCTTTGTGTACTGCTCACTCATACCTTTTCCAGTGCGAAGCTGTTGGCTGTTTGCGAAGAGAGTCTGCAATATTATCGAGGATCTTGGTGGTATAGAAAGAGCAAAGAAAAGATCGCTGAACTTGTTGAGAGGGTCAGTGGATGAAAACCTAAAAATCTTGGAAAAGATTTTGAAATTTTCCAGATTTGGTCTTTTGGTCCAGGCAGAGCCAAAGCTAACATTCTCATAAATGGAATATCTAACTTATAGACCTATATGGGACAGCAGTGAGTGACTTGCTATTCAATTTCCACCCTCCTCAAGCTTTTCAGAATCCGAGCTGGACATGTGCAAAAATTTTTTTCCGGGGCTTTGCCCCGGACCCCACAAAAACGATGTCCCCTTTGCTTTTTGCTCCAAAAACGAAGTCCAGCCTGCTTCTAGACGATCTGTGCCGGGCCCTGGTTCGTAGCTTTTCTTTCTTGTCCTCGTTCCTCTGAAAGGCGGTTGCTTTGCGGAGATGCGCATATCGTTCAAAAGAGTTATATGAACTTTACAATGAACCTACTGGTTTCGATGAAAGACTAACAAGCTAAGGCTATTCAGGACGAAGGCGCAGAAGCAGCATCACTTGAACGGACGCAAACTCGGCGCGCACGTATCTTCTTCGTTGTAAACCCTGCGCTTCATGCGCTCTGCGGCTGATAAAGCCGCGTTCGCGCCCAAAAGTATTGCGCCTTTGTCAAGCAGTAGCTCATATAATGCTTCAGTTTCCAAACGTGGAATTTTCAAACGACAAAAAGAAGTTTTCGACATCTGCTTGTTTTTTCTTACAAAAAAAAGTGTTTTTACAGGGACTTCTTTGCCGAGTAATAGGTAATGGGTAATGAGTATAAAATGGCGCTTTTTCGTCAATGTGAGACAAAAAGGATGAGATTGCAGGACTGGCAGGAGGTTCTGTGTTAATAATTACTGGACAAGAACAAAACGGTCGATCATACCGCACGCAACCCAAATGCACCGTTAGAACGAATCCCACTGCGAAAATGACCTCAAGAAACAGGCTCAGTGAACTTTCTGCATGACTCCATACGGCAAATGTCGTCAAAACTATCTTGCGATTTAACGGGGAGGTATATTGGTATTATCCCCAGACCTCGCCCAGCCACATGGTCTTTTGTATGGCTCTCCTACAAAATAAATGAAATATGCCTGTTCCGGCTGAGTTTTAGAGAAACGATGTTGAAAATCTGACGGAAGGGGGCAGAAGGTTGCGCGCAGCAGCGAAGATTACATTATCGACTGAAATTGACAAAACCTTGTCATTTCGCTGGTTTATGAAAACGCTACGAGCTTATGAATGACCTAATACTTCTAATTTGTTCCGACATGTGCTTGATTAGTTAACTCTCGTGTCGAGTAACCCATATAGTTATTAAATGCATTCGTACACTCTCCCCCATCGCTTCGTGAAAACTCACCGATATCTATGAGCGATTCATAGCACGCTCGATTAGAGAGACGCACGCAGACTTACATCTCTCTAATCGAACGCACTTTCGTTTCTTTTACCGTCTGCTGTCCCTCCCATGCAAGAACTATTTTGGCCGGACGCAACGGCGCCCAATCTTTGCCTGCCATGAATCGTGTGTAGATCTCTGAGATTTTCTACAGGCACCCAGAATTGCATGGGCACAAACTTTGTAAGAGACTGTCTGTATCTGACATGGCGTCCCGCGGAAAATATTCTTTTAGTTAGCAAAGGGGCAAACAAATTCCACATCATTGTTGGCTGTTAATGCGCTTTAATTGACTTCCTTTTTGATCCCCTAATCGTTCAACATTTACTAACATATTTATTTTGTTTCACTTCCGACTTGTGTGACCCGAATCCACTTCTTAGGTCTTTGAACGCTTCCATAGTTATCAGATGCTTAGTCGGCAGTTCATCCCAAGTAACAAGCGAAAGTTCTCCGCAGGTTCCAATGACTTAGATAAATGTAAGAGTAATGGTTTGTTATAATGTCAGTCAAACCACGATAGAAATATGCAAATGAGATTGAAGGAAACAAGATTGAACGCATTCTGTAGGTAGGATCGTCGAGTACACTATCATACAAGTTGTTGAACAAGCCCGAACATGTTCTCTCACAAGTTCGATGGTGAATTTTTTAAAATGCATTAAGACACAACCATGAACTTGTCGATGAGACAACGCAAAGCGTCCCCGAATATCTTACAGACATAATATAAATGTTAGAATAACGAGCTGATGAAAGAAATGATAATCAATAAAAACAAACAAAATAAATCAATAATTCTAGGACCTATAAACTGAAATGTTATATTAAGTATATATCATACTAGTTTGCTTGTTCTTGTAAACATTAGAAAAATAGCCTGTCTAGAACGAAGAAACAGTGATCAAAATGATTTGACTGCTGCTTTGAACTCTATAGGGTGTCACAAAAGTATGTATACACTGTTCGATCTTTAGTGACTCTCTTGCTTTGATGCCATTCGGCAAACTCTGGTACCATTTCGTAGAGCGAGGTTCAACTTAGAATTACAGTATGGAACGGATTACCGACTGCTCTCCAACACTGTAGGATTACGGTACGAAATTCAAGGAGAGATTTGAGCCATTGGAGGCCTTATTTTGCCCCAAAAAGCTGACCAAACAAAGTGGAAACTCTTACACAAGCTAACTGAAGTCGCTGAAACCAAATATGGACTTTGCATTTTACGCGATGCTTCCTTCATTACTTATGCCAGGTAAATCGCCACAGCGGTCCTTTCAATGCTCCGTGAGACTGTGATTACACCATCTGAGAAGCTTTGCAGACTCCCAAAAAGATGAGTAATGAAATCAGAACGCATGAAATCCCTTAGGGTGGCGCAGGAGGAACCAAAAGGTTGCCGCCTGTGCCTGCAGGAGATAATGAAGAGCGCGAGCGCTGTGGAGAATATTTTGGCAAGAATCCAAGAAAACCTGGCAAGGACCTTTAGGAACAAATGTTCATAACTTTGCCTGGAGATGAACTTGAAAAATTTGAAAGACGGATTTGTGATGCAGATTAAAAGGCGCATTCACTGAGTAAGTGAAAATAGGGAATTGTAGTAGTAAGGAAAGTCAAATCTCTAATAGAAACTTTTTGTTTTATGAATTTTGAAGTTTCAAAATGTAGACCGGTATTTACATCCAAAATTCATTCCTTTTTCGTTGATGAAGGAATAGTTTGCGTTTTGATTCAATAAACCAAAGCGATCAAAATGTCATAAAAAACATGTTGAGGCTTTTGTCAAGATGCAATATGCAGCTTGTCTCGTTACTTCAGACCTATTCCGATTCGAAATTTTGACATTAGAAATCTCATAGGATTTGCCATTGAGACTATTTCGGTAACCCTTTCAAAGCTGTAAAATTAGTAAAAGTTCATTACATAGAAGTAGTTAACCTTATTTCCTGATTACAAACACTACCTACTTCCTCAACTTCAAATCCAGAAGTTCCACTAAAAAATCACTTAAGATCTTTCACACAACATGGACTTGAAATTCACTATCTTTTAATGGTAAATTTTGAAGCCTCAGTTTTTGGTAAGAATAGAACTCGAGTAGCGAGACAATTGGCTATCTAGCCGGTAGGCGTATTATTTAAAAACCAGTGCGCCACCTCTGCTTCGCAGAGGCTCGCACTGGCTCTACTATCTAGGCCCTACTCATTCTCGCATAATAATGGCATTGGAACTCACCGAGCAATGCCGACTATCACGAAAAAATGTAAACATTACTCATTCCAAAAGCTTTTTCATATGATATCGGGCATTTCGCGTGGAACTTTTTGCAGGAGAATAAACGCAAATTTTTATAGGTTTTTGATTTTCCCATGGTCTTAACACTTGCGATAAGAACAGTAGTCACCGTGAGCTACATTTTTGTGCAAAAATCGCTCTGGCACAACCTTGGCAAATTGACCATTTACGCAACCAATACTTTTTAGCGCCGTTTTTGTAAAATAATGAACTTTTGATCACTTTTTTGGGCCTAATTTCATGACTTGCACATTTACTTGGCACAAATCCGCGGCTTTGTAAAAAGTGCAATCACGGACCCAAATTTGCTACCCAAACACAAAGTCGATCCGTTTGACGCCTAGTTTCTGAGGGATTCACTCAACGAATCTGCTCGTGCTTTTGCATGTTGGACTTTCATGCAGGTAGCATGCGCTGTGCAAAATTTGAGCCCAAGAAGTTGGCTGGAACTCCTGCTACGAATTTCGTGACACACACACACACACACACACACACACACACACACACACACACACACACACACACACACACACACACACACACACACACACACACACACACACACACACACACACACACACACACACACACACACACACACACACACACACACACACACACACACACACACACACACACACACACACACACACACACACACACACACACACACACACACACACACACACACACACACACACACACACACACACACACACACACACACACACACACACACACACACACACACACACACACACACACACACACACACACACACACACACACACACACACACACACACACACACACACACACACACACACACACACACACACACACACACACACACACACACACACACACACACACACACACACACACACACACACACACACACACACACACACACACACACACACACACACACACACACACACACACACACACACACACACACACACACACACACACACACACACACACACACACACACACACACACACACACACACACACACACACACACACACACACACACACACACACACACACACACACACACACACACACACACACACACACACACACACACACACACACACACACACACACACACACACACACACACACACACACACACACACACACACACACACACACACACACACACACACACACACACACACACACACACACACACACACACACACACACACACACACACACACACACACACACACACACACACACACACACACACACACACACACACACACACACACACACACACACACACACACACACACACACACACACACACACACACACACACACACACACACACACACACACACACACACACACACACACACACACACACACACACACACACACACACACACACACACACACACACACACACACACACACACACACACACACACACACACACACGTAAACAACCGTTAGCCCGTTATCGTAAGTTATGATACACATTTCAATACTGATTGCAAAACTGTCCTTCGTATCCTTGAAAGTTAATTCCAAGAAGAGTTATGGGATTGTTTCTAATAGATGTCCTCGCCAACTTTTCCTGGATCCCCGCCAATATGTTCTCCACAGCACTCGCGCTCTTAATTATCTCCTACGGCTACAGGCGGCAGCCCTTTAGTCCCTCCTGCACCGCATCCGATCACTCATGCACAACTTCTCAGAATTATTGGAAAAACTTTCTGAAACAAGACTAATTCACAATGACGCTGTAAGTCGAAAGTTTCTACCGTAATCCTACAGTAATGAAAAGCGATGGGTGGTCTGCTCTACACTGTAAATCTAATTTGGAGCCAGCACTGCAAAATGGCACCTGAAGGCAGGCAGAAGATTTCTTGGGAAAAAAGATATTAACGATCAAACAGTGTATACATATTTGTGGGACCCCTGTGTATATAACTCAAAGTCTGTGAGAATGTTGGTTAGGTTGTTAGTGCGTTATAGAAACGCCAGCCGTTGAACTGATTCAGCTGAAACTTCGCACACGCATGTTTTCACCCCGGCGGTGGTTTAAGGCTACGCGCTTCGATTCGCTGGGCCCTTTTGACGATTTATTGATTTGTTTACTAAATTCAAGGAGAAAGCGTACACTATCGAGTCCTTTTCCCAAGTTAAGTAGGCAGGGGCGGTAAAGATCATTTGCACTTTGTGAGAAGGATGCAGTGCCACGAAGCCAGGCGGCTGGAAAAAGACATTTTCGCTTCGGGAACGCCGCTGCAGGATTGAAGCAGCTTGAATTACGGCAGGCAAGGAAGATGGTGTAAGTCATTGAACTATGCACACCAAGTATTATTGTGTTGGAAATATTTGTAATACTGTCCAGTTTGAACTACCTCCAGGCTGGACGGGGTAGCCGGCTAGTACTATATATGCCCGATTTACCGGTAGATTATTGAACAGCCTTCGCAAAGCCCCAACAAAAATCCACAAGATCGAAGTGAAATGAAGATTGGAAATGGCAATGCCTTTCAGAAGGCGGATGATTAGATGCTGACTATTTAATGGACATATTTACCAGTGCGTCACCTATGCTTCGCGGGGCTCACATTGGCCATTACGGAACGTATCAGGAGACTCATATTGTGGTAACGGCTCCGTCATTTTTCATCAAGTGACCGCTAATATTCCAAACAAATTTGAAGCTCCCCTGTCGTGCTACTCTCACATACTTCGAAGCAGTGTAAATCGTCCCTCGTTGAATTTTTTTTTAACGGATGAACTTTACACAACAGCAAACTAAGCGGCTTAATCTAAGTCGTGATTACTGTAATAATGGTTGATGCGCATTTGACGAATTAGAGTTCAGAGTGTTGAGTAACTGCTTCGGCTGCTTTAGTCTAACAAATTCACACTTGTGCTGATTCTAAGAATACATGGTCTTGAATGCCGTGGTACCAAAACATATGTGGGTGGGTTGAAGTAGCCCCCATGAAAGCTTCTAAGTTTGTAACGCTCAATTACGAATAAACAGAATGAGAATAAGTACTTTATAAAAAAATGTACAAATAATGATGTAAAGCAAACTGAGAACATAAATAATAATAATCTTCAAACCGAAAATGGAATGATTCTATCAATTAGAGGATGGCAAAATGTTGCTTTAAGGTCTTCTCTCATAGGAAACTTTTGATTTAGAACTTTAACCATTATGAGAAAGGGTGTCCGTATTTTTAATGCTTCATCGGCCGGCATAGTGATTGCTTGTTTGGCCGAGTTTGCTCAAAAGCATGTAGATATATGCAGCCTGCAAATCACACTTACAAAATTGTGCTATGCTTGAAATCACGAGTACAGTACCTGAGGACTCCGTATTGTCAGCTGATGTCTGTAAGCTCTGGCAAAGATTTCCAGGAAGGGTTTACCGGTCTCGTAGGTCCACTTCAACTCACGATGGTCGTACGATATGACGAGCGCCATAGATTTCGAATTGATTAAGTGCAAGCCATAGTCGTTCACACCGCAATAAGCCCGTAAGTGAGACACATGCGGCTGAAAAACTATGTAATAATGCTGACGTAGATAAGAGGTTACTAAATATACACAAATCATTTCGTTGAAATGAGAGTTTCTCTTAGCTGTTTTTCATAGCCTTCAAAATAACCATGCTAATCGGCTCCATTTTGATGAGTAAAGCCTCGGCGCTTGAGAAGACAAGTAAACACTTAACGTGATGAAAAAAGACAAGAACGATCAAGATAAATGCTTCTTTGTTGTTGAAATTTTTAGTGTCAGTAATGTTTTGTGCATGCTAACAAAATTCTTCGGTAGAAGTATTGATTGTATTAATTTGACGTTTCGAGTTCGTCGTCTTTGCTTAGAGTGCGAGCGCTATCATTAGAAAGGCATGTGCGTCAACCGAGTTTTTCAGAGTTGACATGGCACCTAAAGCTATGCATTTTATTCCTGATTGATGAATTCACCAATTTTAGTTTTGTTCGATTGTTGGTGATAGAATACAATACAAGTAACTTGTAAGATAGCAAGTAAGAATTACCTGTGACATGTAAACTTCGGATAAGAAAAATGTTGAGCCGTAGGTTCGAAATTGGCGACAGCAGGAAAGGAACTCATGCTGGAGGTGAGTGACGTTCCTTGATTTGACGTCCTGAAAAATTTTTGATACAAAATTGCTGGAGTGTTCGATACGTGCTAGAATTTTTATCTCTTTCTATTTTTATCCCAATTTTTGTCTGCTCATTGCGCGGTTAGTCTATAAGACTTGTTCAAAAAAATGATCCTCTTCGTTTTCCAAATTCACAGAATTATTTGACAGCTAGAACGGCAATGCTTATACAAGGTCTATCAACTGCAGTGTCGGAATTACCAGCATCTCCTCTTCCGCGCTGCCGCTTAGTCTGAACTGTGCACCTCTTTCGCGAACATGCTCTCTGATCACTTTCCACCGCGAGCGTGAGAGAGGCGGAGTCGCATTCAATTGGATATGATGAATGAGCATGTTCGCGGAAAGGAAGAGGTGGAAAGTCTCGCGCGGGAGTGGAGATGCTGGTGCACCCGACACCGCAATTGATAAGCCCTGTACCTTGCTTTCAGTGCAGCTGTAAAAAAGCCAGCAAACGATTATGGCAGTACATCAAATCACTGAAGTCCCATAAAATCTCTGCTTTTTATTTTTGCCATTTCAGTTCGCGTGCAGCTATGCAACACTCGTTTTGGCCTCATTATTGAGACCACTTCGAATAAGTTTTCTCCGTTATAAATGGATGTGCGCAAGCTTTGTCGACTCCAAATGCTTTTCTTGAACCTAATAGAATGAGTGTCGACATCAACATTACTAGCGCAGAATTATCTTAGCTTATGGAATGTGATATAAATTAGTAGCATTTTCTCGAAAACTCTCACTTTTATTAACATCACAGCCATAGGCAACGTTTTCACTACAACTATCCAAAAGCATAAATCAAAATTACCCTCGCCGTAGCGGCGATTAATAGCTGCGACACTCGTTCCCTTGCTGATAATCTCTCAAATTAGGAAAAGATAGTCTCTCGTTTGGTATTTTGCCACCCCAAAAACTTTTCACTCAATTTTCGTTTGAAAGTGTAGAAAAAAATACCCCCTAGTGATCTTTCATACACTAGTGCATAATGCTTCATTCTGAGTTCGATCATCAGTATTTAGCAATAGGTAAGCAATATTCAAAGCAAAGGCGGTATGAATAACTCTTACCTTTAATGCCTTGCTAACTTTGCTCCGCAGCTCTGAACCCTTCTCCTTCGAGGAAATTAGATAAGAGGGGAAGATGCGACTAAGGTCAAGTTTGTCGCTGAAAGAATTTGTTTCAAAGCAAGGTTGTTTAAGAAAAATGGCGTAACTTGGCTTCTTCATTTCAATGATAATTACGCCTTCACAAATTTCAAAGGCTTCACAAATGTCAGCTGTTTTTTTTTCAACTTTTTTTGGGTTGCTATAAATATTGAGTTGTAAAGGAAGTTTGGTCAGTGCTTCTTTTAATTACCAAAATTGAATGCGATGCAAGGAGCTGGTTTTGAATGTGTATCTATAGCTTCTAACACGGAACGTTAAACTAATAAGAACTACTTTGAAAAGGAGAGTGATGCATTGCGGCAGGTCTGTGGAAAGGCACATTTTTCAGATTATGGACGTGCAAAATCTACAGAAGCTTGATTTAAAAATCTTTACTAAGCTTTTCGTATGGCCAGATGAAGCGACATCCGACTGGTGTTTGCTCCAATACCTGGTCCTTTTTGCAGGCAGGAAATAGTTTATTGAACACAGAAATCGAGCTCTCAACCTATTTTGAAACGCAGTTAGAGTGCTTGGATAACAGCATTTATGACACACCTAATCAGAGTCTAAAGTCTAAAGTCAGTACACATGAACAAAATATCGTTGATTGACACTTGAGATGAAGATATAGATAAAACAAATTAGCTCTACTTCTACCAGCTTACAACCTAATATTCACATGCAGAAAGACCCTCTCTTCGTATGATGCTTTGTGCGACTTTCCACCATGGTTATCGTCTCAACGTGGCATGGGAATAACGGTGGATGGTAAGTTATGATATGCAACTAAGTGAGTAGTCTGGCAGGGTTTCCTAAGCAATGTTTTGTGCTGCTTTTCCAATATTCAACTTCGTCGGATTTCTAGCTAACAGCGGACTCGGTCAGTCCTCTCGTTTGTCTGTCTGAGAACTGCTGGAGGTCACATTCCACATTCCAGGATCCAGGATTGCCCTGTGGAGAGCCAGAGCATAACCTAATAGGCCTCCTCTGACTGGAAAATTCAATTAACTTTTTATCAAGGATAGAAAAAAACTCTGAAAGATGGATCCTTTATAGTGGAAACATGGTACTTTTCCTTATCCGGACCCAATTTTTTAAGAGAAAGACATTGCTTTTATCCCTGCGCCATATTTTCTCCCAGCTTCACAGGAAGCAATGTCAACCATCTGCCACGTGTTAAAAAAATTTGACATGTCATCTACGTGTTTAGCAGGTTTCACCAAAAATTCTTGTTACCCTACCTAGCGATGTAAGTTCAATCTGTTTTCTAGTTAATCTTTTTACCTCATTTCGATCAAACAGTTTCAAAGTGGACAATGTCATAATAAAATGACATAATATCATCGATGAACAGATTAGACTTGCTCAAGATAGAGAAGTGCGCTAGGATTCGGCCATTTGAAGGGCTAAATAAGCAGCGACAAGGTCCTTCAAGCTGTTATTTATAGTTTCTTCTGCTAAATTCGCATGGCGAAAAGGATTGAAGAGAAGTACATTTTTGAATCATTGCTGAAAGCAGCAAGATGTTCTAGAAAGAGCTCATGATTGTTTTGCCCTTATGTAAAAAAACAGTTGAGCACTTTGAAATAATCATAATTTCTCTTTTATCTCACCGAAAATAATTTCGAAAAAACATGTCAAGATGGACCAAAACGTGTCAATTTTTCGTGACACGTGGCAAGGAGGCAGTCCTCGAAGATTCTATGAAGAATTATTCTTAGGCGGACGTATATTATGAGAGCTTTTCTATGAAATGGGTCCGGATAACGGAAAAGTACCGAAACAGAATTCAGTGGAAACAAGACCGATGCGGTTTCTAGAATCGCCGCTTAGATCGGAAAAAAGGCCACGTCTTGGACGAGTCGCCTGACAGATTGCCTTTTGCTCTGCACCTGTAACACCGAGACAGACTCCTCACAAGCCAACCTCCACGTTCATTTTGACGCTGCAGAGTACACCAAACAGCAATTGATTTGCAGGGAACAAAGCTAGGAAAAAGAACATGCGACATCTGAGTAATGGAGATTTCATTCCTCTTGGTGAGGAAGTTCCAGCAAGAAATGCAGGTCCTGATCAGATCTGCACCCATCTATCGTCCATCTCATCTATTTTTACAATTCCCTCACCTCATTTGCCCATCTTACATTCATTTCTTTCACATCAGAAGTCCTACAGCATCATCAGCCTTTCCCCATCATCAGAGCTGACGAACATGAATAGGATGCTTCCTACGAAGAAGGAGGTTCCGCAATGAGAACCTATGAGTTTTGTGGGTAGTTCAACGCAAGAGTTAGAATGCTAGAAAGGAAATAAGATCGAGAAGCTCTGGTATGAGCTCTAGAACAAAAGCGAGAATCTTCACTTCAAGCTTCTCGCCATCGCAATTTTTTATAAACTTCCTCATGGAAGAACGACACCTGCGTAGGAGTCGCTGGACCGAATGACTCAAGCAGCTTGATCCCTTCCCACCAACCAAATGATGCTCGAATTTTTAGCAGAATCTTCCATCCTACAAGCGATGACTCCGACCATCGCCTTTTTGAAAACCATGATTTGGTGGAAAACTGCAGAAAAAAAGATCTCATAGCGCCGCAAGAACGAAAAGTTTTTGACGGTCACAGGCTGGAGAGTTCATACCAAGTTGTACTTGGCCCATCGAGAAGAACCCAACGTAAAACTCGTCCTGATCTCAAAAATTGCGAGTCAAAGAAAAGTTTGCCTCAGCGACTCTTGTGAGCTATTGGTATTTAGGCAAACGCTATAATAGTCCGTAGGTCCCTTTGAAATTATCTAAGGGTTTTCGGGTTTTCGCGTAATTGCTATTCATAATTGATCAAGACTAATAAGTCCGGGAAATGACAAAGACATGGAAGCCAATCTGCCCGGCTGTGTCTTTGATTGCTTTCAGAAGATTTCAACTTTATCGCTCTTGAATGACTTACTCTCGGAAGCTCCAGGCTCACAGCCGAAAGTAGTGATGCTTCAATGGTATGAACAAAAGCAGTCAAGCAAGAGCAAATGGTTTTGTGCTTATTCGCAAGACACACTTACTCATATTGATATTACAGGGTGTCCCAAAAGTCTTGTAACCTAATTTTGCACTGCTTTAACTCAACAATCACTAATGATTTTGATCTCAAATTTACAACACAGAATCCTCCAATCATTATTCGTACTACATCCTTGGGGGTAAAAAATGATCTTCATGTTTGACTGAAAAAAATAAAATTATCAAACCATTTCTACCTCAAAACGCAAAAAGCTATTTCCTAAAAGTTTGAAATTTATTCCGCTACTGGAAAAATTTGGCACACCGCGGTGCAAATTCGTATTCACAATATAGAGGAGGCTTTGCACTACTATCACTATAATGGCTGCATTTGTAAATCTATTTTGTCAAGAGAGGCGAGAAAATACCTGAAAATTTTCAATGCGTGCCACTGCAACTATGCCTTTGAAACTAGTTTCAAATCTGTAGAATTGCAGCAGTAACTGAGTTTGGAGTAGTCCTCTTCGCATGTTTTCTAGATAGGAATCCAATGCAACACGGATGACGAACTTGGTTTTGAAACATATTGTAACGATTTTCTGTTTTCATTTTCCAAAGTGTCCAAAACTCCACCATGAGATCTACGCGTGCCTGCATTCAAATTTCCGTAATTTTAACCATAAAACTCATAAATTTTTCTAATCATGGTGTGATGTAGCTGAAAGCTTGCTCTATCATACAGCACATTTTCTAAGCGATAGGATTTATTTTCATGAAAAATTGGGACAAAATTGATGATGACTGCGTGCGTGCCTCGGCAGTGGTAATCGCCAACAGTTTGAAGGTTTCCGTTATCAAGGAAAGATGCTACCACGAAATTCGAATGCTGTGATGTATTTGCTACTTTTTGAATAATATGCACACCAAATTTTATATCCCTATGTTGTTCCGTTCTGTTTTTATCAGAAAAAATACTAGGCTACAAGACTTTTGGGACACCCTGTACACCTTACTAATGACCCTGATGACTAGCTCTAAAAAGCAATTTGTGAATCCATCGAATTGAAAATAAAATTGTTGCTAATTTGAGTTGGATTTTATCTTGTTTTGGTTCTTCCTGTTTGCACACGCTATTTTATATGATAAGCAAAATGACAATCAAAGCGCACCTCTTCGTTACGTTCCCGTAGAGTATTTTTGTTGAAACCGCTGCCAAGTATATGATGTCCTCCTCATTGCAAGGATAATATCCGTTAAGAAAATTCTGGCGTGCTTCCTCGTACAGCAACGTCATGCCAAACTCGTCGCTTTTAGCCTAAAATTTAGTAGATTGTGCACAGTTAAGCGAATTACTAAATGATTTGGAATCTGCCATACCCGTTGAGCAAAAAGAATTTTGGTGCTTTTCCGTTATCCGAACTTTTTTTTCGAAGAAAATTGCTTTTCTTCTACCATATTTGGCGTTGACTTCACAGGAAAGAGTGTCCACTCCCTGCCACGTGTCAAAAAGTTGAGACTTCCTCTACAAGTCTCACTTACAAAAGTTCGTCAGCTTACCAACGTAGTTTGTATCTATTTTTCAATCAAAAATATACCAATTTCTGATTCAACAATCTCAAGAATGAAGATCAAAATTATGAGCATGTCATACTGCCTTCGCTATAAATATTAGATTTGCACAGAACAGAGAAGTGCACTAGAACTACATCATCTGAGCGTTAAAGCAAGCGGAAGTGAGGTACTACAAGCTATCATTAATAATCTTTTTTGGTTCTGTTCGCAAGGCGGGAACTGTTTGAAGAGGGTAATAATTTTGAACCATTGTCGGTCGAGATTTCTAATAAACGTTTTAGATTGTTCTGCTTCTCAAGAAACATCCGAACACCTTTACCTCACCGGAAATATAAAACATGTCAAATTGAACGAGAACATGTAGGCTGACTGTTGACTTTGTTCTTGACACGATAGTCCTTGTAGGATAAAGCACATATTTCATAAGCATTCTTATGAAAAATGGTTCCGGATGACGGGAATATACGAAAATTCTTTTGTGCTTCTCCCTGGGCGCTGAATCTACACGTAGTGGTGGACCAAGGTGCAGTGAGACGAATCCTTCCTCCTCCTCCCCGCCGACCCGAATTTCGGAGAATTGCCTTCGCAACTTTTTAACATTTCCACTTAAAATCGGAATGATAAAAAAAAGGCAGATTAGTCTTATGTAAGGAGATTTTCGGGCAAAATGGAATTTGGAAGCGTGCGAAAAGTATGGGAAGCTTGACGCACTTTTTTATAGGGCGTGGTAATGCCGCTCCCGAAACCTGCATCCATGTCCCCAAAAATCTCTTACAAATGCAGAAAAACAACTATGAATTTTGCCTATTCCCCATTCTGCAAAATCATGGCTTCTTACTCGATGCCCACAGAAGACTCCGCAATATCTCAAAGAACAGTCCATCCACCCTGCCATGAAACGACTCACAAATATACAATTAAATACTACACAATCCACTTGTTATCAATGAGCTGAGCTCTTGTTTTGTGGTTATATTTATTTTAGAAAGTATGCTTTGCGCGCCAGTTTCTCAGTATCGCGGAGGATGATAACAAAGATAATTTCAACGAATTGGCGAGCGCCGCGAAAAGCTGCATCGTCTCGGCTGGTGCACGCAAGTATCATTTTAAGTGATTCACATTTCTTTTCATATCTCATCAAAACATTCTTCATACTCATATATAAGCCATCGGTAGGGTATGATCACATTTTCTCACATTTTGTTCGTTCACTTTTGCATTCTCTTTACTACTGATTTTTCATGAAATAAGAGGTTGAAAGACAAGTATAAATAAAAGTATTGTAGAGAGAAAATAACAGGTATTGTCGCAATTTATTTTTGTTCTGATTTGCATACAATGCTTTTTGCCATTATTCCTGCCATTATTAGTTTTGCATTGACAATCATTTGTTATGTATTAGTTTGTAGTTACACGTGTTAATTTACTTATTTATATTTATCTTTTTCAAGTAAATACGGTTTAATTACCCAAGTTTGAGTTGAAGTACATTGCAACCACATACAAGCCCGCGTGGCACGAGTACAAGTTAATAAGTCTCTTGGCATTAGAAGTCTTATTGTTCTGCATATCATTCGAGCCTCAACTAAACACCCTTAGGAGAATTTGGCAGCAAGCAGATAGTAAGACCTCCTATCAAGTCAATGCCCATGCCCAAGCCGCGGCCCAAATGTCGCTTCGGAAGCGAGAATATCGCTCACTAATAATGAAAAAGCACGAGAACCCCTGGGCGGCACCGTCCATCCAGAAATGCCACCCTTCCGTGCTCGCTCGTTCAATCACCGTTCGGAGAGCCAACTTCACGGGGTTTCTGATCTAGCCATCATATATACAGTGCTAGCCATAATTATGAAGCCACTCTAGAAATCGTCGTAATTTTCGTTCTTGTCAATGAATCTGTCTGAAACTTTAATGTCTTGCGCGAATGTCAATCTACCATGACCCCTCAAAACGGCTTCCAATCTTGTTGAGTTTGAACGGAGAACAACGAAAAAATCTGAAAAGGCCCTTAATGAAAGTTGGACAGAATTTTAAAGCCACCTGATTCTTCTAATCATTATCGCATTCTTGACTCTCAAATTTTGTACAATTATACCAAAATATGAAACATTTGCAACACCTACGGCTTGTCCTCCTACTCAAGTAGAAGCAATCATTGCATTTTTTGCATTTAAAGTAAATCTGCTTCAACAAACCGAGTTCAGCACTTTGTGGACATTGCAAACAGAGTTTTGTGGAGTAAAAGCGTGACAACCCTATGGTGAGGTTGGAGTCTTTCCGTTAACGTCAGCGATTACGCAGAGTTTATGGAAGCGCTCCTCACCTCATCTATCGAAAATGCTCAATAGATTTTATGACTATCATCATAACTTATAATAACGGGCTAAGGGTTGTTTACGTTTGTCTGTGTGTGTGTGTGTGAATCTCTGTCTGTCACGAAATTCGTAGAGCGAGTTCCAGTAAAGGTCTTGAGCTAGAATTTTGGTAGTAGCACCCTATCAGCATTTAGGTAAAATATGCAAAATCTCAAGCTCATTCGATAATTGGAACCTGTGAAATTGTGCGCCAAACGGATCCACGCGGCATTTCGCGCGCCAAAGTGGGCCTGTAATTTGACTTTTTTTAAAGTCATGGTTTCGTTCAGCAAGTAATTCCGGAAACCATGAACTCTAGCCCAAAGAGTGAGCAAAAAGTTGACTTCACGCAAGATTGGCGCCAAAAAAGGAATAATTGCGTAGATGGTCGATTTGTCAAGGTTTTACCTGGGAATGTGAGAAAATTTTTGCGCAGAAAACTCACGGTTGTCATCATCTTTATGGCGACTATCAAGCCATTATAACTCCAGTAACTGATTCAGAATCGCATTTAATCTTTTGGAGAATATCTTCTAACCCTCACAGTCACCGATGTTACATGAAAAAGCTTTTAGAATGAGTAGTTGTTTACATTTCATTCGTGATGAATCGCGAGGTAAGTTTTAAGGCCATCAGGACTACGAGAAAGGCATGTGGATAGTAGAGCCAGTGCGAGCCTCTGCGAAGCAGAGGTGACGCACTGGTTTGAAATAAACAAGAGCTTGAAAACTTCTCAAAGCAGCTGTTTGTTGAAGCAGATTTACTGAAGCTTTTGAAAGCAAAAATGCAGTGATCGCTTTTACTTGAGTAGGATGACAGGCCGCAGGTGTTGCAAATGTTTCATATTTTAGGATGTAATTGTACAAAAAATTTGAGAGTCAACGAATGCGATAGGGATTAGAAAAACCAGGCGGCTTTATAAATTTGTCCAGCTTTCATTAAGGGATTTTCCAAATTTTTTCGTTTTTCTCCGTTTAAACTCAACAAGACTGGAAGCCGTTTTGAGCGGTCATGGTAGGTTGACATGCGCATAATACAGCAAATTTCAGACTGATTCATTGACAAAAACAAAAATTACGACGATTTCTAGAGTGGCTTTATAATTATGGCCAGCACTGTACACGATCCTTAGTTTACATCAGACTTCGTGTAATATGTTCAAGCTGATGTGCGGCCGCACTACAGTTTTTCATGAGCGGTCAAGCTCCATCTTTATTGGTGGTGAGATAATGTAGGTTTTAAAGTGTTTGATCGGCACAACTATAAAGTAAAATGCGAAATGGATTTAAGATTTTATTGGAAAACTAGGGGAACAGAGAAGTCTGTCTTCCTATACGCCTCTAGACGATTTGCGGAGGATTTGCATGGTTACTCCTTGAGACATCAACAATACTCTAAGACCAAGTTACTTTGCATTGGAAGCATGTGACAAGCACCCCACTTGTTGAGACATTCTTATATGGGGGGGGGGGGGTAGTAACAATAATAGCTTCGTTTTTGAGTGTAGCTACTGTCATTAAAATATTGAGATGTTTCGTGTTTTATTCGCCCAAGCTTAGGCTGCGATAACGCCTCGTAAGCTTAGACCCCAACAAATCGTCACAAAGTCCCTGTTTTTTTTTCCGTTTTCTAGTTACACTTTTGCCATCTATAAGGTCTTTGCATTGCCCAGATATCTCTCCAAAGAGAAGGAACGACTTGGTTATTTTTCGATTTTCTTTTGATTCTCATTATTTTCACAGAACAGCAGTTATCTTCGTACAACACCCAATATGGGGTGGGAACTTGCATTACCTTCAACCAGTAAGGCATTTTGTTGCAAAAGAAGGTTGATGAAGCACCTGCAGTTCTGCGGCAAGCGTAGCGTGTGCGCTGCGCCTCATCACCAATCGCGGCTTCTCCGTCGAGTTCATCTGGTCCGTCCATTTGTCAACTTTAGCACGCCATTTTTTCACGTTGAGATGAGCTAACGGTTTGTGATCGGGCTTTAGCTGGAGACCTGCAGAAGGCGTCTCCACTTCTATTAGAATGTGAATAAGCTGAACTACTTACTCAAACTCTCTGAGCACACCCACAACGCAAACAGTTTTAGCATGCTTGGGCCGATCTTTATCTCTTGCCCAATTTCTGCCAAAATGGAACTAGCCGTAGTTTCTATGCCGTCTCTCAGCTGCACCATAACGTTCCCAGCAGATAGGAAATCAACCTAGATTGTATGATGAAGACGAGTATTTGTTTATAAGAATATACCTGTATTTTTTCAATTTTCTTCCAATTCATCAGCAGCTTTGCCACATCTTGCCATGCTTTCTTAGGCACGTCTTTGCACAAGTCTACAGCACGATTTCCATCTCGATTTCGCAGATTCTGCAACCCATTACTTTATAACTGACCAGGGTGACCCACAATGTAGCCAAATGATTGCTTGTCAGGCTTCGGCCAAGTCAACCTACATCAGGATATCTTCTATTTACCGACTGTAATTATACCAGGGTGAGTCAAAAGTGATGAAAACTTTTCCACTCTGAAGTTTGATTCTTGATAAATAAAGGGCTAAGAGGGATTTTTCTTTGAAATAGTAATGAGACTATGGTGAGTGATGGTTTTGATCCATCTTTCACTTGATTCTTGGATTTCTGCACTTTATAAGTCTATGACTTCAAGGAAGAACATTGGATGAGAAATCGACACAGTGCTATAAAACTCTTGAACTTTGAGTTTACGAGCGGTGTGCCGTCAAGTATCTTACAACAAATTTACAGTGTACACAACCCTCAAAGTTTAACCAGACGCAAAATATGGCTTTTTGGCTCTTCCTTGTTTCACCAGTGAATGCGACCTTTAATTTCAGATGGTCACGGTTTTCCTATTCAGCATTGCGGAAGTATAGGCGCCGTAAAACCTAATTGCCCGCGCTGTGCCTTGAACGCCAGCGTAAGCGAGCGGTCGTCGCAAACTAATGTCGGCGTTCACTATATCCCAAGAAATCTTTCTTCAACTTACATGTTGTTCTCGTCAATGCAAGATATATCTTGACGAAAGCTCCCTTCAAAAGTTCAAAAAAAAATGTGTGGAAAGGGTGCGCGCTCAGTGTCGCTCGCAAAAAGTAGCGCTTCGATACCAAACGATTCCAGTCGCGCCGCGCGTTGGTGTACAAAGCGATGCGTGGGCAATTGGATTTTGCGGCGCCTGTACACCCATTTTTTGTCACAAATCACAAACTCTCGAATAATAAGAAAATTATTGGGAATCTGCAAGAAGTTTCTGCAAACCTCAATTCTTCAATGAGTCCGTCCTTCACTTAGTTCGTGTGGAACAGTTTTGCTGCTTTTGCTCATTTCCTAATCTTGTTTAAGTTTGAACCACATTGAAGGATACAAACCAAGCTCAGCCGACAACTTGCATGTGGTTTTAGTAGGGTTCCAGTTACCGAAGAGGACTGCAGAATTTACAGTTAATTGTTTGCCGGTACGTAAGTCGTTTTCCAGGCTGGGTTTCCTTAATCAGAGTTGGGATTCCACCTATAGCTTCTTCGCAAACGTATTTTCGACTCATATTTCGGCAATTGTTGAGTCCACGCCTTGTCAGAATTAGGGAAGTGGCTTACAACATTTTCGATGTTCATTTCATGACGCTAACCTGTTTAGTATCATATATAGTGCGAACATTATCCGTCCCTAGGGAAGCTCCATCTTTGAAAATGATGTAAGACAAATGGCCCGTAGTAAAGCTGCCTCATTCGGTCTCAACTGAGGAAAGCTTCAGTTAAGGCTTCGACGAATCAACTGCCTCATTTGAGTCATTAATTGATGATTTCAACCATCCACATTGATATGATTGAGTACGCCACGTTCATGCAAGTATACAGGTTAAATCCCGTTCGCCAAACATTCACATCTTTGTGATTGGTACTAGCGTCGGAGATTGTGGCCGCACTTGTTAAATCTTGTCGAAGATCGTCAGCCTGCATTGTGGCTTCTCACTCAATATGTTCAACATGTTGAACTGACAAGTATGGTAAGTTAGATACTCAAAAGTAGCTTACGGAAATTCTCTCTAAACCTCATTAGCACACTAATTCGGGAGATCTTCACTCGGATCATCTCCGATGACTCGGCAGGGAGATGCCCCTGCCGAACTTGACCTAAGGCTCACATGTCAGGTGACGCTGCATTATTATAGCAAAGTGGGCGGTCGTCATTTCACCTGATGGGACCTCACATAAGGGCGTCAGGGAATATCATCTCCTGACCAAGCTTTACTACGTGCTAATCTCAGGTCAAACGCATCTTACTTGGTATAAATAGACTTGCGGGAAGTTTTCACTACTTTTGTCTCACCCTAGTACTATATCCGATCTGCAATCACTGTCGCATGTTCACAGAAGCTCTTCCGAGTATGGAAACCTACGGTGTCAACTCCGGGATGACTAAGCAATAGTTCTACCAAAAAGGCATTTCCATTGAGCGCGGCAAAGTGAAGTGCGGTTGCTCCACCTTTGTTCTGCACATTTACCTGAAAAGATATTTGCATTTTTATTTGAAGTTGGATCTACGGTAGTTTGTTCAAAAAAGTTACTGACATTAGCGTTCCCGTTGTTCAATAGCGCTCTCATCGCATCTAAGTGTTCATAAAAAGCTGCATAATGAAGCGGTGTCCAGGAATCACGATCGGCTTGATTCACATCATAACCAAGAGCTATTAGTGACCTAAAAGAATAAAATTCTCTCTAACGTTTTGCTGACGTACGTGAAATGACGTCGTGACGAATTCTGTCCTCACTCTATTGTCGCCGCGTCTCCCACATAGGCAGCGCGATGCAATGGATAATTTCTTGACCAATCATCTGATGAGATTGAGGTCCCAGATGAAGTTCTTATTGTGCGTTTAGCCGAAGCAATAAAATAGTTGGAGCCCTGTTCATTTAGTGAATAAGTACGTTCAATTAATTGTTGGAATATCGCAAACCTCATCGTCATCACCAAGCCCCAATCCACTATCGAATAATGGATTCATCACGAATGTATTGTACTTGTCGTAAGTAATCATTTCGACTCGACACAAATTTCCGTAGCGCACTTTTTCATCAAGATCCACTGATGATGAAACACTGCGTACACTACTAGACACATTCCTGCAATTCTACATTTGCTCCAAGCTTTGAAAGTTGCCAAGAAGTACCTGACGCATCCTTCGATTTCATTACCCACATAGGCTGGATTATGGCAACATCGGATCACTCGACTTTTGGCACATGGCTTCAAAAACAAGGATGATAGAAAGTACGCGTTGACCTTCTGTGAGTAACCCAGCCATCTAAAATGAGCGAAGATACTCTTTCGCCCGTCTTTTAAAGCTGCGTCTAGGTTGCGAAAGCCAGCCTCTCCAGCATTGTTTCAGCGCATTGCCGGAACTGTGCCCCTGGAAATCGTTCAGCGCTACGATCTATCGTGGTTCCGGCATTGCGCTGGCACGACGCGAAGCCACCACAGGTACAACTTTGGACGCATCCTACGAGCTGCTTACTCCTCAATTCGCAGTATCATATGTCTCGTCTGTGTATCAAAATCTTCAGGCGTTTGTATGCACATGTTCACCAGTTTAGCTAGATTCTCCAAGCGACCGTACCGATAAGAAACACGGTCTAAACAGATTCTTGCAACATCATTTCGAACACTTGACGTGAATAACCTTTGGTTTGCATTGGCGCACACATGAGAATCGTCCCTGGAATAGCCGACGAGCCATTCTTGTCTTCCCATAATGGTATAGGAACTGTTCGGCGAAAATTTGTTCTGGAAGAAAAGGCATAAATAATTTTATGGAACACACAGTAAATTGAGAGCTACCCGGTTTTTAGAAGCAGTTCTCCGAGAACGCAGTCAATCAAACTGGCCGAAAGGTTTTTGATATGGAATGAAGGAAGCTTGATGACCGTGCCTCTAACACGATGACCACCCACTGTTGTTCGTTTCTTCACTGGATAAGGCTGCAAAAGTAAAAGATGCATTGCGAATTACAGAGGGTCCCAAAAGTGCATCAAACATGCGGTCGCTAATTACATTCTTTGTTTAAACAAATTTTGCGATATTTCAGAATCTTCAAGTCCCCGGAGCATAGTGGGCGGTGGGCAGGAGTTTGATAACGCACACGTGTGGCGGTTGATAGTGAGAGTGTACGAAGATAGCGCTCACGATGGAGCTTTAACAAGTTGTTTGATGTATTCGATGTCCGCAATGCTCCGCCCGTTATGCTTCTGGGGTCGCATATTGCCAGTTGGTTCAGATCCTAAAACGCTCGTCATTTCGGATTGTGTTGAAGTTATGACGCAGCAATCATCGATATATCAGCATTACCGTAATCTTGGACTTGCAAGTACGAAAGCGCTTCATTGATATCCTCTGAGAATTCGTCATGAATAAGAAAATGAATTTCTCGCAATCACGACTGATCTCATGTCAATGCTACCATTATGCGAGCTCACATCCCCCCGTAATATACATTCCCATGTTATTCGCTTACTTCAAACTCAGTTGCATCCGTCACGCTTGTGCCGGATGCTGGTCTTATGGTGGACTGATGGTTGAGTGTCTCTCTTCATTTTTCAGTGCGTTGAACCACCAAAAGGTTTTGGACGGGTAGGACTTGATAGGATCAGGACGGCGGTATGGTGAAAACAGATACATATGCTACAATCTATTTCAGATTCCTGACGAATGCAAATTGTTCGATATGTTAAGTCAATAAAAGTTTCACCAATCAACCCGGCTTCAGCATAAGAAACGATAAAACGATTGTACCTAGGTTCAGAGAAGAAAATAGAAGGAAATCGTCAGGGCGCTTTTTCGAAACACTGATGCCCATCATTATAAAGTAAGTTTTAACTCAGTTTAGGCGGAAATTGGACTGGCGAGAGTCCGCTTCGCAACGATTCGCGCCGCTTTGCAGTCTGCGTCTCTTCATTCTGATCTATCTCGCTGAGCCACGGTTCGGACGCGCTGCTCCATTTGGAATTTTTCGCCGGGCCGTTCCGGGTTGAAAAATACTGTAGCTGAGTGATCAAAATTTAAGAATTTGCTACTATGAATAGTTTGCATAGAGAGAGTCATTCGGAGAGCTAATTACTAATATCTGTCCATTTTCTGCAATAACAACGCCTTATTGTAGCGTTGCTACCGAACACTGTTTATGAATAGAATTGATGCTGAAAAAAAGATGCTGCAATCTTGTACTCGTTAATGCTGTATCATGCATTAATCGTGAGTCAGCGGATGGCCTCAAAATGTGCAATTTGCCAATTGCACAGCATTCATATCACCCATAAACCATGTTTGTCGTCTACAGTAATGTTACCTGTGCATCTTTATAATTAGGTACATCAGAGCTTGTAGATGGTTCATCCAAGATTACCAGGTCATAGGCATGTGGAGACAGTAAGTTTTGATCTATTACAGCAGTCTGCCGTAATTCTACTATGGCAACTGACACGTCTGACATTTCTGCAATAAAAAAACTTGATTGTTTAACGAGCTACTGTATAGATACACTTTCTATTTCTACAGATTGATAAGCATAAAGAGATAGAGATACTGACATTCCGTATCAGAGATATCGTCACTTGTCGATTCTAGATCATGGCACATGCTCAAGGAGATTCGGACGGAGAAAATACGATACCAGGCAGGAGCTCAGAGTATGATTTTCTCGATCACGAATAAATTATATGAGCTACCGCTTGCGCAAGGGTTCCATTCAGGACTTTCAAGTTTTTCACATGGGAAACCCAAGTACTCAAATTTGCCTGGACCTTTACCTTTGAAAGTGGTTTCGAAAATAGATGTGTTTGTAAATTCGTCTTAGAGCTGATTCTACAATAAAATTTCCCCGAAAGAGAATATGACAGTGATTCCATTCGTTAACAGCTCCTACTTTTATGAGCAGATATACTATTGAACGTGCAATTAATGACTGGAAGATAATAACAAACACAAACAATGCGACACAAAACCTGCTCCTTTCAAGGAATTTCCTGTCTCAGAAAAATATAAGCAAGCGGAGACGACATGTATAACTCAATGTACATTCCCGACTAAGATCATTTTCCTCAAGCTGATTTGATAAAAGCGATAAAAAAGAAGAGTGGGAAGGAAAGGTCTTATGACTCTACTGTCAACGAAATGTGACGAGCTACAGAAGCTAAACAACACGATCGAGACGTCACCTTGACAAAGCTTTACAACTGGTATATTGTTTTTACTTCGTATTGTGAGAGCAGTGTGTTGGGTATCATAGAAGTCTTTAGTTATGAACAATTAAAATACCAAAAAAAGAAGAACGAGCAGAAATTTGAAGTGTGTAAAATTCGTCATGAGTCTCGCTGCCACGACAGCTTCATCTATTTTGTGAGCTTCGCAAATATCGATTAGAGTGATAAGAGCGGTGACCACACCCAACAAAGCAAACAATGTGCCTGGCAAGAAGTGTCTCTCGCATCTTACTGCGGATTTTTCGCACTTACCAGGGGAGGACCAGAGTCGAAATCGGCTTTCCACATGAAATTGATATCAATCCAAAGAGCATCAAACACTGATTCCAAAACTGTCGCTGTTTTTTGCCAAGTGCTTCTAGACTGAGTGATGAATGCTTCTTGGAACGAAAAATGAAAGCAATATTTAGGCAAAACCATTGTTACGGTTTTTCCAGCGCTAAAATAAGGAAGTGAAGTACGAGTATATTAGACAAAGATATTTCATGCATAAAGTGCTCTGATATACTAAGCCACTTGCGCAAGCTTGAACGGATTCGTTCCAGTAACGCCAATTTTGAGCCAAAAAAAACGCTCATAACTCAGCGTTTAAAGGCGCTTGGCAGAAAACAAAGGCAATCTTAAAACCAACATTTGGTGCCCTTCAGATTGGTACATGATTTATGGGGGAAGCTGATCTCGGGTCCTTCCCAGTTTAGTGATACCTCAATATAGCAGCTTAGAAAAAATGAATTATAACGCTCCGATGTGAACCATCTATAAAACGTTCGTACTATCTCCTGTTCCTTACTAGAATAATTCGAGAAGAGGCATGAAGCAGTAAGAACAATAAATAAAACACAGGCACCTCGCTCACCGCCAATTCCTGTAGCACGCCACTGAATGAGTTCCGACTCGTACTGGCCAAGACCCCAAAGGGCCTGGCAGAGGCTAGCTTCTATAGCTTGCAAAATCGATGTCGAGTCCGCTTAAACGCTTTTAGAATACTATTTACATCATTCTAAGGCTTTTACATGCACTTCAAAGGATACAGTCTGGAATTCAAAAAAAAAGCAACGAACCCTTGGATGCTCGACTACGAGCTAAGTTAAAGATCGAAATTGAAAGAAAAGGATTGCTCATAACACATGGGTTGTTTTGAGTTACGTTATCTAAGGCAGTACTCTGAATTAGCCTTTCCCCTAAAAGATAGATCTTTGGACGAAGAAAAAGTCGTACCAAAAAAGTTCAAAAATTCCCCAACTTTTTGATATTTGCGCGAGACCGCTCTTCTGAATAAGGCCCGCATGGACGTACATCCTCGCTGAGGAGGGGTCTCTATCCTCAGGATAACGATATCTCTTCCCTGTACCCAAAGCGGGGATGGTGTGATTGCGGTAGTTGCATCTACCTCAGGCTACCACAAAACTCTCCAGAAAAGTTATTTTCGGTCAAATCTTGTGTACCGGGATGGCTTTTGGGACAAAAGGTACAAAATTTAAAAGAGTTCTGATTCCGCGTGTCTATGTCCCTTTCTCCCTTTCATCCCTCTCATATATCCCTCTCTCCTTTGCTCTCTCTTCTTTTCCCTATTACTGTTTTCGAAGGTACTCAGTACTTGCTGACAGTTAGTAATAACGTTGATTTTTGCATTACTTCAAGTCTATTTAGCAGTTCGCTATAAGTTCCTCGCAATTATGTTATTCCGATGTACTTTCCCACAAAAGATTTCGTGAGTGTGCAGCACTTTGTAGTTTCCGGGGGTTTCTCAACGTTTGTCAGTCACGCCTCTGAAGTATACTTCTTTCGCTGCATCAAATTCAGTATTTGATTTCAGAGGTATCGATCGATCAAACCCCATTGGAGATCCCTTTCCCTCCCTCACTCGAACCTCGTATGCACGAATGTAACTCAACAATGCGCGGGGGGGGGCGACATTCCCTACGATGGAGGGGGGTTCGATGGTACAGATCATGCCAGAGAAGCGAATGTTCTGGTTTCAGTCAGTTATTACAAGGCATTACGTTCAATTTGACGAAAGAGTTTCCTTGAAAGCCGGTTCCTCTCCCAGCGGCCTGTATTGCAAATTTGCCTCTCTCTTATGTATTCGCTTCTCGCGAAGAAACCCTAGCATTTATCTGCTAACTTTGATTATTTGTAAGAGTTTCTAATCATTTACGAGATTTGTGCGTTTTACATATAACATGACAGTTTTACTCATATAGGCTGATCAAATATACTATAACTATCATATTATATCATATATTGTCTTTATCTTGTTAACTTAATGAGGATGCTTTCAAGAAAAAAAAAACTAAAAATTAGCAAATTTGCCTATTTCTGAGGAGAGATTCTTTGGGTAGTGATCTCCTCCCCAGCGTTCACTTCGTACATAGCGTGGATGGCCGCTGGTCATTACCTTGGGTAATGGACGATAATTGCTTATAGCTACAGCCTTCATGGAAAGCTGGCACAATTTGCAGCTCCCCCCCCCTTTTTTTTGGCACTATACTACCAATTCCCGCACTGACATCTTAACTACTACACATTGTCGAACATCTTTACGCTGAACTGGGGAGCATGGGCCAAAGTGAGTAGCATTCATGACAACAGCAGAATATAGTGGGCGTGAAAAATATCATTTTCGGTGCGTTAGTGCAGTCAACAGACGCGCATATCGAAACGCCTGATTATTGCGATGACGGAATGAAGGTGAATAGCTTGTCAAAAGATGAAAAAAGAGAAATAATAACTAAGAAAAGCGGAAGCGAACTGATTTCCTCGCTCGATCCCCACTGTGCATGAAGGGGTTCTCTTCCCCTAGTCCCAGGGATCCCTTCGCCGATAATGTCTGTGTGCATACGGAGGTTCGCGTGGGGAGGGTAGGGAAGCTCCAGTGTGGATCATTTCGATAGTAAGGGCCCATGCATTAACATCCGCGCTAGGAAGTGGATCGCAGCTCAAAAAAAGCTTCATTTCCTACAGGTCCAGATATCTGGATTTTAGGCTGTCTCCCTATCCAAAAGTATTCCTACTATCCTCCACTATGAACTAGTGAACAGCACCGAGGAGCTGTACAAACCGCATTTTTAGGCTTATCGTATGATCCCGGCGGCCGACCGTCTTTTCTTCAACGTCATTTTTCCTTCTTCGAAGTTGACGAGAACCTTACAAAGTTGTACTGATTGATTGATTCAACAGTGCTAAGCATGCTCCTAATAAGAACAAATGAGTTTTTTGGAAAATCGATTTTTTCGATGAACCCTTTGACTTATGGTCTATCGCAAATTTCATAACTATACATCAATTGTTCTTATCAGCATCAGCTTAGATAATCAACTTTGAAGGTTTTCTTAGCTTCGAAGAAAGAAATATGATTTTGAAGAAAAGACGGTTGGCAGCCGGGGATCATCAGGGGATAACATAAAAACATAAAAAATGCGGCTTGTACAGCTTCTCGCTCGTGTTCAATATGTTCATAGTGAAAGATAATAGGGATACTTACGATAGGTAGACAGCGTGAAATCTATAAGTTCGGAGCTTTGAAATATGAACTTTCTGTTGAGCTGCAGTCCCCTTCCGGTAGAAGGGTTAACGCATGCGGCTTTGAAACGCCACCCATACCCGCGGGAATTTACGTGCATACGGGCCTAATGGTGGCCTGGAGCAAGTAGATGTGTTACTTCAGACATTTCCGGGATTTCTACATAACGCTGCTCACAGGAATATTATATACATGTAAACTTTGATGTTATACGAAGCCAGTTGTTTATCAGCACTACTTTTGATCCAGGCTCATGAAAGAAGACATTGGAACATATTAGTTGTGTAAATGGCAACATGCACAAAGTGCATCTCATGTTCAACAAGTTCTATAATACGTCTTGGTTTTTTACCCCAGAAACGATTCCCGGCTTGATCCAAGTGGTAAACCGGGAAGGTAAGCCCTGATCCTAAGCCGATGCCTTGCTTAAAATGCTGCAATGGGGTGGGAGCCCATTTGGACGCCGCTGATCTAAGAAGTTGCTCCTGTTAGACACCTATACTGAATTAAATGTGCGCCGATAGTGATGCAGTGCTCGGTGAATTTATACGAACTAGTAAATTTAAGGGTTTGATGCCCTTGTGATGCCAACGATACGCGTAGAAATAGCGGGCGCAAAACTTGCAAAAATGCATTCAAAATGGCCATTTTCACATTAACGTCGACATAAAATGCAGGACAGTATTTTTTGCGCAGCGATATCAGCGCTGCA